ATACTTCATACATACATACATACATACATACATACATACATACATACTACATACATACATACATACATACATACATACATACATACATACAGAGTACACAGTGTATATATATATGTGTGTGTGTGTGTGTGTGTGTTATGTATATCACTATATGTATATGCAAGAAGGAAGGAAGGAAGGAAGGAAGGAAGGAAGGAAGGAAGGAAGGAAGGAAGGAAGGAAAGAAAGAAGGAAGGAAGGAAGCTTTCCAATGCTTTCGGCAGCTTCCCACAAGGATGGGAAAGCTTCTCACAACCCAATTGGAAAGCCAGCAGGAAGTCGGAAGACACTCCTGCTCCTACTGCTTTTTTGCACACCTGTGGTCATTCTGTTTCTCAGTTTAGGAAGGAAATATCTCAGAAATGATGACCCAACAGGGCATGGGTTGTCTAGTAAAATTTAAAAAAAAAAAAACAGAAGAAGGCAATGGCAAACAATTCCTGTGCCAAGGAAACTGCATGGATGTGGATGTTATTCATCTTTAGGTTTTTCTTTTTGTCATTTACAAAGCGAAGAAGAGAAAGCTGAGGACCAGAAAGTCCCACTACTGTAATCTAATTATGGAATGCCAATTCCATGCCCAGGCTCTGGCATCCTACAGGGATTACCACAGATTTACATATGTTCTTTTCAATTATTAGTTATGGGTAGAAAACTATGCAATTTATAGCCGCCCTGAAACTCTGCAGAAAGACTAATGAGTGTCCTGTGAGCAGGGGTGGGATTCAAATTTTTTAACAACCGGTTCTGTGGGTGTGGCTTAGTTGGTGGGCATGGCTTGGTGGTCATGTGACTGGCTGGGTGTGGCCAACTCAATATCACTCACATTGAGGCACGCATCTCCTCGCCTGGCCTCTCATGACTGTGGGGATGCTGCAACAGTCGTAAGTGTGAAAAACGGTCATAAGTCACTTTTTTTCAGTGCCATTGTAACTTTGAATGGTCACTCCACACAAGCAAAGTACCAGCAAAGGAGGGGGAAAAAACTCCAGAGAAGTTCCAGAGACAGGAAGTCTAGTCCTGCCAAGAATGTAATAAGGGTTAATGGAGAGGCAGTTTCTGTAAGCAACACCAGAATGTTTCCTTCCTGCCTTCCTTACAGGATTAGGCCAGTAATTTCTTCTAACAACCGGTTCTCTGAACTGCTTAGAATGTTAACAGCTGGTTCTAGTGAATAGGTGTGAACTGGTAGAATCCCACCCCTGCCTGTGAGCAAAGGTATAATTGTGGGATTAGTTCTAGGAGATATGGGAACAGGACTACGCAACTGCTGAAGTGAACGAAGTTCTCCAACAGGAATTGTCTTGCTTTTGCAGCATGTAGGGAAGGCCGGTTTGGGCGAAACTGCCAAGAGATGTGTCCTAGTGAGCAGGGCTGCAGAGGCTTATCCTTCTGTCTGCCTGACCCATATGGCTGTTCCTGTGCTGCTGGATGGAGTGGAGTACAATGCAACTCAGGTATGCCTATTTGCAATTGATTTATAGCAGCATAGTAATACTGGCCTAATTTGTGGGTGTGGCATGGTGGTTATGTGACTGTCTGGGCATGGCTTGTATGTAAATATTATAAATATTTATGTAAATATTGAATTTTTTATTAAAAAAGAGCAACTTTTACCCAAAATCAGGCAAAGCAAGCAGGCAGATTGAGTTGCTCACAGAATCACAGATTCACTTAGAGAGATCTGTGTTTCTGCCATCGGCTATCTGAGTCTGCAACTGAATAATAGAACCTTCAGTCCTAAGGGAGGTTTGGCTCTGCTTAAAAGGCTCTTAAAAGCAGAGGTGAAGATCTATAGATAAGCTAGAAAGCAAGAAATCCAACGATTTCCTGCTTTCTAGCTAATCTAAATCTTCCTGCGCAGCAGAACAGCTGATGGTCAGAAAAAGGAAAAATAGCACCTTAGCAGGCAAGTTTGCCAGGTAAGGAGTGTGTGGGTGGGGTGGGTTCTCGCATGCCATGTGGGCGGCGCAGCCTTGTGTTCCTGCTCAGCCTGGATTAATTGCTTTGGGGGGGTGCTCTGGGGTTGACATTTCTCTGTGGACTGCCAAAATTTTCTCGCGGCCCACCAGTTGGCGACTGCTGATCTAGAGAAACCTGGGATTTACGTCAGAATGCTTTTCATAGATTACAGCTCAGCTTTTAACACCATTTTGCTGGATATTCTCATCAAAAAGTTGTCTGACTTGAATTTCCCTTCTCTTACCTGTGATTGGATTAAAGACTTTTTGACGGACCGGCCACAACAGTGAGAGCTGGGTCTTTCACATCCTCCTCCCTGAAGCTCAGCACTGGCTCTTCTCAGGGCTGTGTGCTCAGTCCCTACCTGTACTTGTTGTACACATACGACTGCATATCTTCTCATCCATCTAACATGATAATAAAGTGTGCAGATGATACCACCGTACTGGGTCTTATTACAGGAGGAGACGAATTAGCTTACAGGGAAGAGGTCCAGAATATCCACATGATGCTCAGAAAACAACTTGCATCTAAACCCCATCAAGACAAAGGAGATGGTATTAGACTTCCAGAAGCAGAGAGAGGAACCTACCCCATTCTACATCAAGGGGGGGCTTGTGTCCTCTTTCAAATTTCTGGGAGTCCACCTTAGCCAAGATCTCACCTGGAAAAATAACACAATCCAGGTGGTCAGGAAGGCTCAACAGAGACTCCATTTCCTTAGAGTCTTGCGGAAATATCAGGTGAAACAATGACCGATTACTTCCTTTTGCAAGTCTATGATAGAAAGCGTCCTTACATATTGTATTGCAGTATGGTATGCTGGCTTGACAGCTGCAGACAAAAAGGCATTATAGAGGGTGATGAGCATAGCACAAAAAATTATGGGCTGTCCCCTGACACCACTGGATGAAATCGCCAGGACCTGCTGCCTCAGCAGAGTGAGGAAAATCCTCAGGGATGATTCACACCCTGGTCAGCCCTTGTTTACTCTCCTAACATTGGGCAGAAGATATAGAAGCATAGCCAGCGGAATGAATAGGCCAGTGGTGGGATTCAATTTTTTTTACTACCGGTTCTGTGGGCATGGCTTGCTGGGTGTGGCTTAGTGGGCAGGGCAGGGGAAGGATACTGTAAAATCCCCATTCCCTCCCCCCACCCCCATTAACCTGCTTTCCGGCTCCATTCTCCTGTGCAGGGCAATAAAAGAAGACCCAGCCAATCAGTTGGGACTTGGGAGGCAGAGAATAGATGGGGGCGGGACCAGTCAGAGGTGGTATCTGCCGGTTCTCCAAACTACTCAAAATTTCCACTACCGGTTCTCCAGAACTGGTTAGAACCTGCTGAATTCCACCTCTGGAATAGGCTGAAAAATAGCTTTTATCCATGGGCTGTCAGACTTATGAACATAATATAAACACCACAAGTAGGTTTAATATGATAGGCTTGCAGGGCCAGCACCAAGGAGGCTCATTTCAATGTCATTGTACACATGTTGTGCATTGACATTAAATGTTTGATTGATTGATTGGAAAGCACTGGACTACCACACAAAAACTCCCAAATAAATCAGTAAAATCACTGCTGTATTAATTTCTTTGTTGTATTATTCTCAGTAGGGTTTGGCCCTTTTTTATCCAGGGGATTCCCAAAAGGTATCAAAGACTGTTCCTTACACTTTTCAGTTTTATCGAATTACTAAATAGCATGAGGACTAATGGCACTCAGTTTATTATATTTTAGAATCTCACTTAATAAAGAACCCATTATCTGAAATGCTTTGAGAATAATATGTAGAAAATTTAACAGAAAGCTAATATTTTTTACCACTTCTAGGTAAATGTTCAGATACTAGATTTTTTTCCCCAGTAAGTTAAGATAAAACAGGATTTATATTGTTTTAGATTCAGGTAAAATAATACTTATCAAGATCATTTTGATAACAAACTCATTCTAACTTGAATGAATCAGACGAAAACAAGAATTATATCTGACAAAAACCAATGATGAACAGCCAGGGCTGTTGCTTAGTGCATGTACACTTTTGATTTCATTGTCTCCATCAGCAGAACAATCACATGTTCCCTGGAAAATCTGGATATGGAAAAGACCTACAAGAGTTTCTGTTTCATCCCGGACATAGGATGATTCAGAAGCTTTATCCAGCTTTGTTGCTTTCTCTGTTTGGGCCACATTTGGCTCATGGCCAAGAGAGAGTAGCTTCCTCCTTTTGTTTCTTCAAAATAGTTTCTCTCCTGCTTGGCCCCAGCATAGAGACAGAAAAAGAAAGATGCTTGTAAGCAGGAAGTTCTACGAGGTGAAAAAAATGTTAAAAGTAACCCTATCCTGACTGCCCACCCATTTCTGATGCTAAATTTTCTCATTCCTCGGCAATGATCTCTCCTATATTGTTGTTTGCTTTTGAGGGGAAATGTTGTAAGTCAAAGTTAAGCAACCCGATACAATCCTAGTGATTTGGGCTGCAACTTCCAGAATCCCATCTCCACCATTAGGGTGGGAATGATGGAAACTGAAAAACTGCATGATACTTTAAATACTGTATACAGATAGTCTTCACTTAACCATGGTGGCTAGAACTGGAATTTCTGTCACTAAGTAACACGGTCATAAAGGAGGCTATCACATGATTGTGCCAGTTAGTGACACTAGTTCCAGCAGTTCTGGTCACTGTGGTTATGCAAATCCCTCACAATTGTTAAGTGCAATATCACGGAATTGTCATTTGCAGCCTCTTGCCAGCTTCCCCGTTGGCTTTGCTGGTCAAAAGCCTGCAGTGAAAATTGCAAATGGCAATCACAGGATCACAGGATGCTGTGACATAATTGCAAGCTGGTCACCAAGCATCCAGATGCAGTCCCATTACAACAGGGATGCTAAAATGGCCACAACTACAAACGAAGTCATATGTACCACTCATCCAGCTCTATCCTAACTTCAGTCACTGAACAGAAAAAGCCACTTCTCACTGTGTTCTGCAGCAAGGAAAATTGTATGGAAAAAATCTGGGTAGGAAATTAAAAGTGTCCTTTCAAAAATTATGTTTAGGAAGGAAAGAAGCCTATTGTAAATCTATTGTAAAAACAACTGGATAAACTATATGTAAAGTACTTTCACGTACTCATATATCCAACAGAAAGGAGAATGATTAATAACTGCTATAACTAAAACAAATGTAATTTGTCACGTTATCTTTGACCAATAAACTCGGTCTTTAAAATGGGTAAAATTGTTGAGGCCCTAATCCCTCTGTTCTTCCCACAGCTTGTTCTCCTGGCAAATACGGTCCTGACTGTACCCTGGAATGTAACTGCCAGAACGGAGGCACCTGCAATCGATTTAGCGGCTGTATCTGTTCATCTGGTTGGCATGGGCAGCATTGTGAAAAATCAGGTAAAGCAAGAGTGATAAGAACATGAATGATATCTGAGATCTTCCCAATATGAAGTAATGATTTAGTTTCTGGGGAAGGAGGAAGTGGTATTAAAAAGAAGTCAGGATGACAGCGATGCACATAAGAACCTGTGGGGTTTGATTACATGATCAGGGCTGCCATCTTGACTTTTTGGACCAGGGGTCTCCAAACTTGGCAACTTTAAAACTTGTGGACTTCAACTCCCAGAATTCCCCAGGCAGCATGACTAGCTGAGGAATTCTGGGAGTTGAAGTCCACAAATCTTAAAATTGCCAAATTTGGAGACCCCTGTTTTGTACTCTTTACTGCAGATTTAACTGTTAGGTTCTTGTAGTCAGGCAGGAGATTAGATTTTTAGTGCAAAAAAGTAATTGTACATAATTATATATAAATATATCAGATATTCACATACTAAAAAGAACACCTTATTTGTTTTCTTATTTCACTTCAAACCCCTTTATATTTTTGATTTCTTACTGTTACACACCCACTTTTAACCTTCAAACTTTCTCCACTCAGACTGTAAGTTCATTTCACCCATCCTGTTCTTACTCCCATTGATTTACTGTTAAGACTTTCTTGACTTGTATTGCTTTACAGCTTAGCTCCTAGATTTTTATTACTTTTACTCTATCTTCTCATTCTTCCTCTGCCCTTTATTTCTCCAGAAAGGCTTGTTTTGCTTCTCTCAGGAAGCAGCTAGATATGGGTCCAGTTTCTCTCAAAAGGCACAGCTGTCACTCATCTTCTCCTGTTGAGATGATTTTATTCCTCTATCTCAGACCCTCACTCTTCTGTCAGTGGATATTTTCCTTTGAGTGAATAACAGAATAACAGAGTTGGAAGGGACCTTAGAGGTCTTCTAGTCCAACTCCCTGCCCAAGCAGGAAACTCTATACTATGTGTGGATCATTTTCGCCAACTCTATACTATGTGTGGATCATTTTCATGGATTCCACAAGAGTGGCTTCTCCTTTCTCTGACTGTCATAAGACTTGGCAAACTATTTATTTATTTATTTATTTATTTATTCATTCATTCATTCATTTATTTATTTGTCAAGCAAGTATTAGATAACAGGTATAAGTATAAACATGATTATGAATACATGAAATGGATACAAATAAAGAGAAATATTAGGACAGGGACAGCTTATGCACGCCCACTACAGACCTCTTAGGAAAGCAGTGAGGTCAATAGTAGACAGTCTAAGGTTAAAGTTTTTGGGGTTTGGGGAAGAAACCACAGAGTCAGGTAGTGCATTCCAGACATTGACCACTCTGTTGCTGAAGTCATATTTCCTGCAATCAAGTTTGGTGCGGTTAACCTTGAGTTTGTATCTATTGCATGCTCTTGTATTGTTGTGGTTGAAGCTGAAGTATTCATTGATGGGTAGGATATTGCAATACATAATTTTATGTATACACATAGGTCAGACCGAAGGCGGCGTAGTTCTAGGTTGTCTAGGCCTAAAATGTCAAGTCTGGTGGCATAAGGAATTCTGTTACGAGTAGAGGAGTGAAGGACTCTTCTCGTGAAATATCTCTGGACTTTCTTGACTGTATTAATATCCGATATGTAGTGCGGTTCCAGACTGATGAGCTTTATTCGAGTATTGGTCTAGCAAATGTTTTTTATGCTGTTCTAAGGGCTCTCTGACTTCTGATTTTCCTCTCCTTTCTTCCTCCTTTTTTCCCTCTCCAGCCATCCCCAGCAGCATCTATGACAATTCACTGTGGCCAACTTACCTTGGCCAACTTGCAACAGCCAACTTGCTGCAGGAAGAGAGTTACCCCAAAATCAGAGAAATTATGGAATAGAATAATTAAAGAAAGAATGTAAGAGGAGGCACAGAATGAAATGTGAATGACAAAAATTAAAATATTTTTTTTTATTTTTAAAAATAATTAAATTGTATTGTTAAATTGTACTGTGGCGAGTCGTCCCACAGCAAGTTGGCTGTAGCAAGTTGTCCAATTTCACCTTCAACGTGCCTTTTTTATATTCCCCCAGTGTTTCTAAATAACAGCTTTTCTAAACTGTACACTCTTACCTGCCTGTTTAATACTTCCCTTCTCTTTCCCCACTTCTAGAATGACACATGCTTATTAATACCAAGACATACATTCTTAGTAGGAAATACTAATGAATGGTTTTGATCTTGGTGAGAGACCTGAAGAGATATCCTCACACAAGTACACATAGGTTTCACTGTTTAGATAGTGAATATAAAAAAATTTCCCTTTTGTATCAAGTTTGCCTCTAAGTGATTTCATGGACCTATGTGTGATATTTTCTTGGTAACATTATGGAAATGGAAATGGTTTTCCATTTATTTATTCTGGGATGTGTTTTCAACTTCCAAGTCTAGCCCTGGAATTTTCTAATACTTCCTATCCAAGTACTAACTAGAAGCAAATCTTCTGCTTTTTGTGTCAACCAAGGTTCATTAGGTGCTATCATCTAGCTTGGCAGTTATTTTATTTATTTCTTTGTGCATGCATGCATTTTATCCATTGCCACAATCCTAGTGAGATACAAGCACATGCACACGCACACACACACACACACACACACATATATCAAAATAAGAGTAAAAATTCATACATTATATTAAATCATAATGAATACATCACCAATGCATGTCATTAGATGTGAATGGAGAGAATAGATAAACATCATAAAGTATATTAAATAGTTTTCACAGTAATGATTTAACCTTACTATGGTATTTTCTGCCAAGACCGTATACCCCAGATCATCAACTTGGAGTCTCACTTGGAGTTTAACCTAGGCTCCCAGATCATAGCTACCTGCATAGCAACAGGCAATCCACCTCCTGTACGTGATAACATTGAACTACGCAAGCCCGATGGAACAGTGATAATAGTAAGAATTTGTCCATTTATGTGTTTTACTTTCTGTCTGATTCTATACTGTCATGTGAAGTCTATCCCCTTCGCATTTTTGTCTGGCTAACTAAACTTTTCTCTGAGTACTTCAACAAACAGTGACCAAGGCCAGGAAGATTCCCTGCCTCTGAATTCTGACCAGGTACTGGTGGCTTCTCTGTTTTCTCCACCACCACCCCTCCTTCCTTTCCCATGGTCATAGATGTGTCATGAATTGCAAAAATGGCAAATTCTGGGGGCCCTGTATAATTCCAGATGAGTTCATGAAAATTAGACCAGATGATCAATTTCCTAGAGTGCATCTAGTTTCTACTGTATTATTTTTCTACATTGGTATTCCAGGATGTCCCATGTTTGCATGGGGCTTCAACAATATGGTTGTTTTTTTTTCCACAAAGATCTGTTAGCAGATTCTGGTGAGATATGATGGTGTTATTGTCTCTCCTTAGCCCACAAAAGCCATCATGGAAAAGGACATGACAACCTGTGAGTTTCAAGTCTCACAAGTGGTCTCTTCTGACTCTGGCCTCTGGGAATGCCGTGTCTCTACTACTGGGGGACAGGACAGTGGCAAGTTCAAAGTTACTGTAAAAGGTGAGAAGGCAGGACAGGTAGTAACACATCACAGTTAGAGCTGTGATGCACCCTCTGCTTCTGAGATGCAGAAAGATAACTGAAATGTTTCCAGAGTTTCTTACGTTTTGTCTGACTGTTTTGATTGTTCTCTATGTATTGGTAGCTTTTTTCCATTAACACTTATTCAGGCAAAGGATGGTTATTAAGAAAAGGTTGCTATTTTATTAAAGTATTAGTTCCCAAATAAAGGACATTATTATTGAATTTTAAATCAAGGTAAGGATTGTTAGAAGGATTGTGCCAAGTACAATCCAGGGAACAGTGATTTGAGAAATTACTGATTGAGATCTTTTTTGATAAAATGATTTTCCCTTCAAAGCAGGAGATCTTACCCTTTTTATGCTCATTTGTAATGAATTCTCCAACTGTTCTCTCCTTAAGTGCCTCCAGTGCCATTATCCCCTCCCAAACTTCTGGCCAAGAAGAGCCAACAGCTGGTGATATCCCCTGTGGGGCCTGTGGCAGGTGATGGACCCCTCATCTCCATCAAAGTCCTATATAAACCCCAAATTGGAAGTAGCTGGTCATCTATTGAAGGTAAGGAATTTGTTGTATCTGGAATGAATTTTTATGGCATATCCTCAATATGTTGGCTGGAAATGGACTTTCAGATCCCTTCCAATCCTTCCATTCTGTTATTTATCTCTCCTTATTCCAATTAAAAAGATTTTCAGTTTCCTAAGGTTACATTATGGACATGTTTATGTTTATGGGGGGGATTGCTTCTGGCCTTGATTTCATAGATTACTTATAATGGAGAAAGGAATCTTCTGTAAAGAGTAGCATCTCAGTATCCTGTTTCATCATTGAATTCAAACATGCAAATACGGGTAGTCCTCAACTTTTAACGCCCAAAATATCTGTCGCTAAGTGAGACAGTTACATGAATTTTGCCCCATTTTATTACCTTTCTTGTCAGTTGTTAAGTGAATCACTGTAGTTTGTTAAGTTAGTAAGATGGCCGTTAAGTGAATTTGGGTTCCCTATTGACTTTGCCTCTCAGAAAGTTGCAAACATGATCCCAGGACACTGAAACTGTCATAAATGTGAACCAGTTGCCAAGCACCCAAATTTGGATCACGTGACCACTGTCAGAAGTGTGAAAAATGGTTGCAAGTCACTTTTTTCAGTGCAGTTGTAACTTCAAATGGTCACTAACTGAATGGTTATAAGAGACTACCTGTAGTCTCAAGTCAATTCAAAGCAGCAAGTTGCTAAACATCAAAACATCCTTGGGTTTCCTTGGAACCAGCACAGATTCCTTTCCACTGAAGAAAAACAATATGGAGAATATTATTGCTAATCTGTTTTCCCAGCATCTTTGTGCATTAATTCTGAAGATGGTTCTTCAGCCACCTAAATTCTTGGAGTGGACTGGAAGAATCATAAAATAGCTTCCTCACTCTTTTTCTTCGCTAACAAATGTCTACTAAATGTCTACATTGGTTATACTTCTTTCTAGCCATCTACCATGAACAAAAAAAAACTAGGACATTCCAGGTTCTAGATTCCTAGGGTGTCTGCTCAGCCAGTCATGAAATTACAAGTTATATTTTGCAATAAAAACAAGAACTGAATAATATATATTATTCCTCAGGGAATACTTCAAAGAATCTAGATAGACTAATGATGTTTGTCTCTGTAGTAGATCGTAACAGAAAATGGATTATTGTTAGGTGGAGCAGAGAGCTATCGATCCCAGTTACAGGGTTCTGCCCATTGAGCTTTCTGTAATAGAAAATAGATAAAGCAGAACCCTTATATGAAACCCTTGAATTAATGGCTTCTATACTGATCAGCAGTTGATAACATCCAAAACATCACTCTCATGAACCTGCGACCTGTCACGGCCTATATTGTAAAGGTTCAGCTGACACGGCCTGGAGAGGGAGGTGAAGGTGCCACAGGCCCAAGTGCTGTCATGGCAACAGATTGCAAAGGTAAGTGCTTAACATTTGTTCCTCAGATCTATAGTTTTAGGGTGGGGGAGAGGGAGAAAGATTATGAGATTAGAAATTAAAGATTAAAGATAAAGCAAAGAAGAAATATACCGGTAAAACAAAGCGAAAAAGTGTAATCTACCAATGGGTGTCAGCTTTATTTTGCATTTTATTTTGTATACAATGTGTTCTTAGGAGCAATCATGTGCAGGTTGTGGGGAAAAAAGAATATATTTGTTCTGGCTTGGAACCATTTTTTTTTCTTAATGTTGATCCAAGCTCTTTGAATTTGCTTTAATCCTCCTTTTGTCTATAACATGCTAGCATTTTCAATTTGGCACCTACCCAGACTGGCTAATTTTGAAAAGCTTTACTGGATCATATACAACTGGTATTTTGAGGGATCCTTGGTGCTCTGTGAGCTTCATTGTTTCCTTGCAGACATTTCATTACTCAAACTAGGTAACATCATCAATGAAATGTCTGCATGAAAACAATCAAGTTCAGAGAGCACCAAGGACTCCTCAGTTCAACCTTGAACTGCAAATATTCTTTATTGATACAACAGGTATTTTGATTGATCAATAGGATAACCTGGAAATTTAAAAAAAATCTGGAAGAAGGTAACAGCAATCCAGTTCCACGTTATTGCCCAGAAAATTGCAACTCAGAAGAGAATGATAGCAGAAAAAGTAGCAGAAATAGGAGCAATTTAGTAAGTCACTACAATAAAGTCAGACACTAATTGTTCCAATTCTGCTATTTTCTTCATTTTAAAGTGTGGAATGGATTTCTGCTTGTATTTGGTTGTATCTGCAGGATGTTATATTTTGAGTAAAAGGAGATGAGATGTCACCCTCAAATTCAATGAAAGGGACAGGAAAGGAAGACCCTTCCTTTATATGGCACTTGTGCTTTATACAAAGAGAACTGTTCATCTCTCTTCTCAGTTAGCATTACCTTCTCTGATTGCTGGAAAAGAAAATGCCTTGCAGTTGGGTGGTGCTATCTTTGATCATCTTTGGGGTAGGGATAGTGACTTCTTGAAGTTTGGTACAGCAACCAATATATTGTTGACATTGCAGAAATAGCAAGTGTAAAATTGTGCGCTGCATTACAAACCATTGAGAAGGAAATTCTACCCAAAGTTCAAGATGGAGAAATCCAGAATTTCTTGCTCCTTTGTGCTATTTAAAAAGTAATCAGATTGATGGGTTTATATATTTCTCTATTTCATATAGAGCCAACAGCCAAACCTGTAATTGAACGCTCAATTATTGAAGGGAGCAACAATCTACGTGTCAACTGGAATTTGCCCAAAACTGATAATGTGGGGTCAGGATTTCTTGTCCGGGTCTATGATGCAGCCAAAGAGCTTGTTCATCAAGAAAACGTTACTTCCATGATTGTGCAGTCAGCATATATTCCGAACCTCAAGTTCAAGGAGAACTATAACCTAGAAGTAATGGTCTATCACTGTACCAGCTTGGGACCACCATCTGATCTCCACCCATTCAAGATCAACAGTAAAGGTAACAAATCTGTCACTTCTAAAATGAACAGGATGGCTCTAGAGTGGGGTATTCAATATTAATCCAAGTGATCCTTTACACAATAAGTATTATATCACAGGGTTTTAAAATATGCCAGACTTTGACTAGCCTTTGTGTTTGTTGTATGACAGATGGCCTTAAAAAAAAATCCAAATTCCTTCCCACTGATCTCTGCCTGTCTTTCTGTCTATCCATCTATCCAGTTATTTATCATCTATCTCAATCTGCAGTGGGAAGGAATTTGGACTTTTTAAAGCCGTTCAAAACAAGAGATCTTTTGCAGTAATTTCTTTGAATTTCCTGTTTTGCTATGGGAAGCTGAGGGTATCACAAGGTGTTCATTGTATTCCAGCATGACAACCCTGCTGATCAAATTCCTCTCAACTATAATGTCCCCCTGACTTGGCAGGTGAATTCTGTGTAGAATCTGCAGCAGTTCCATGATAGGATCATTGAACAAAAGTTAGCTAGTGTATATAGTCTGTAATAAGAACATATAAAGCTTGCATTTATTTTCAACAAGATGTAATTTTATATATATTTTAAATACTTCTAAACACTTTTCAAAAGCCTGATGTGCTTACAGGAGCTCTGGCTCTTCAAAGACTAGAAGATGGATGCAGGAATGTTGCCTGGTTCCATGGCCATTCCAAGAATTTCTGGGAAACAAGTCACTACCTTGCCAAAAGCCCACAGCTTTCAGGAGCACTCCAGGCTTTTAAAAGAAAAAGGATAAATGACATATCTCAGCCAGTTTAGACACTTCAGATAACTCTTGTATTATCGTTGGATCTGATCTGAAGATTTTTTTTCGACAGATTTTTAGTAATGTTTAAAAATAGCAAAAAAAAAAAAAAAACACGTGCTGGATTGGAGAGTCAACCACAAAAGTAAATTCTTAAATGAAACTTCCTCATACAGATAGTCCCTGGCATATGACCATAACTGCGCCCAAAATTTCTGTCACCGAGCAAGGCAATTGTAATGTAATTTTTGTCCCATTTTATGACCTTTTGGTTATTAAGTGAATCACTGCAGTTATTAAGTGAATCAGGCGGTTGTTAGTTGAATCTGGCTTCCCCCATTGACTTGTTGGAAGCCAGCTGGGAAGGTTATAAATGGTGATCACATGACCCCTGATGACCTTTGCAGCATCCCCAACGTCATGTAATTGCAGTGTCCTGGGGTCATGTGATCACCATTTATAACCTTCCCAGTTGGGAAGGTTATATGCCAGTTGCCAAGTGCTCAAATTTTGATCGCCTGACGTTGGGGATGCTGCAAAGGTCATCAGTATGAAAACCTGTCATAAGCACTTTTTTCAGTGCCCTTGTAACTTTGAACAGCACTAAATGAATGTTGTAAGCGGAGAACTACCCATATGCTAATCTCTAATAGAAGTTCCAAAATGCTGAGTTGATTGCGGAACAGCATGGGCATATATTCCAGACCAAAAAGATCAATTGCAGAGCTAACAGCTGTGCCATTTGCCTCCTCTCTCAGGACCCTCATCGCCACGCTCTCTCTTGGTGAACCCTCTCGCTGATAACTCCATCAGGCTATCCTGGCTAGCTCCTGAATACTCTAATGGGGGCATCAACAAATACATTGTAGAGGTGCAGCAGCTGGGAGGCAGCAGTGATCCACAATGGATAGACACAGAGAATGGCAGGGATACCACAAAGATTATCACAGGGCTTAATGCCAGCACAATCTACCAGTTTCGGGTGCGAGCCAAGTCTTACGTGCTGGGCGAGTGGAGCCAGCCCGCGAGAGCTGAAATCCTGGGTGATGGTGAGTGGGCCAAAACCTTATTTGGTTGGATGGTGCAATGAAAAATTGCAAGGGAGAGAATATTGGCAGAAGAAAAATTGTTCTCCAATAAAGCAATGGCAAACAATCTTGGCAAATTTAGCCTGGAGGCAGGATAGTTTAAGAACCCACAAGTAGCCAAAAGCTATCTTTATTGTACCATTTGCTAGGTGTGTACCACAAATCCAGTCATTTTATTTCTGACCAACAGGAGCCCTGAGCCAAGTGCCTACTCTAGAAAGTAAAAACTTACCTCCAAGTCTCATGGACCAGCAATTGATATTAGCCATCGTTGGCTCTGTCTCTGTCACCTGCTTGACCATATTGTTTGCTCTCCTGGCCCTTTTCCTCATCAAGAAGAATTGTTTTCATCGCCGCCGCACCTTTACCTACCAGTCTGGCTCAGTAAGTGCTATTGTCCGTGGCCCATTCATTTCTCCAATGATCTTGACTCCTTTCCATCAGCATCCTCATCCTTTGGTACTCTGGTACTTGTGTCCCCATGCTGCTGACCTATCTGGTCTGCAACTGTTACCTGCAACTGTTACCTGCAACTGTTCTCTCCCCAAATCCCCTCACAGGGAGAAGAAACTATTCTGCAATTCAACTCAGGCACCCTGACCCTGACCCGCCGGCCCAAACCACAGCCTGAGCCACTCAGCTATCCCATCCTGGAGTGGGAAGACATCAAGTTTGAGGACATGATAGGGGAAGGGAACTTTGGACAAGTCATACGAGCCATGATCAAGAAAGATGGGCTGAGAATGAATGCTGCCATCAAGATGCTGAAAGGTGAGATGACTATCCTGTTTTCCTGAACATACGGCCTACCCTGAAAGTAAGTCCTAGCTTGACCCCTAAAATAAGACCTAATTAAGATATCACCCACTCCAAAGTGCATGGGTAAAAATTAAGCTAGGGTGGGGATGAGGGGGGTGGAGCTGCTCTACTACTTACCTTTGGACAGTTGTAGCCAGGCCTCACAAACCCTGACACCTGCCTTGCCAGCACATTTCTTGTACAGTCAGCAAGGCTGGCACAGCTTTCCTTGAAGGCTTCTGCAGCTGATAACAAAGTTCCAGATCGATCCAGAGCTCTGTTATCGGATGCAGAGACCTTAGGGAAAAAGCCTTGCCAGCTGCAGAAGAAAAAGTTCCTGAAGGCCTCTGACAGCAAAAAGGAGGCCGGGGCGACGCGCACAAGTGAGGTTCATCAGTGGATGACTTCCCCTGAAAATAAGCCTTTTTGATAGCAAAAAATATAAGACAGGGTCTTATTTTCGGGGAAACACGGTATTAAGGCTATTGGATAACCCTTCCTACTCTAAATGTCTATGGAAATTCTCATTCATCCAGGTCATGGTTGTCCCAAAGGTGCTTTCTTCAAAAGGCAACTGGACTTTATGGTTTTTCTTTGAAGACATTTCTTCTTAAGCTGAAGAAGCTTCTTGGATGAGAAGCGAACATCTTCAAAGAAAAACCAGAAAGTCCAGTTGCCTCTTGAAAAAGCACCTTTGGGGCCTTCCCTCTCTAGCAGAATGATTAGACCACCCGCTCTGATTCCTGACCTCTTAGCTGGAGGTCATGGGAGAAATGTTAATAACAACAACATAAGTACAAATTCTTCCTATACAATGCAAAATTCTCCTCTAGTAGATAACAGATGCACCTTGCACAGAGAAAGCCACGAGTGCTTGCTCAGAGGACAAATTAAAGGGTATCTGATGCTATAAAATAATCGATATTTAGAATATATTTGCGTCACATAGTTAAATAGATGAAACTAGTTTCATAACAATTCCTCTCCTCAAATCTAAATCTATGTAAGAAACTAGAGAATCATTTAGATAATTATTCATTTACTTATTAACCATTGTTAAATACAGTCCTATTGCACAAAGGGCTTAATAATGATAAAAAAGTAAAGATAAAACAAGCAAAACAGAACAATTACCATAACACTATGAAGAAACAATTCCCTCAAAATTCCCTCAGAACACAAGATTAAAAAGCAAAATCTTCAATATCTCTGCCTAAATGCGGACTATCTATTATTTTCAAAAGACCTTATAGAATAAAACTGCATTTACTGCCTTCCTGAAAGACAGCTGGATAGAGAAAGATCAAACCTTCAGCCTTTTTCAAAAGCTTTAACCTTCATATCTACCACCTAAGAACAGCCACCATCTTCTAAGTCTCTGCTACAGGCAAGAAAGAGACTTTCAAGATCCTAATATGCAAGACTTTCAAGATCCTATTATTATACCCTATATAACAACAGCCTTCACAACTTTAAGATGTGGGAACTTCAGCTCCCAGAATTCTCCAGCTAGTATGCTGGGGGTTGAAATCCACACATCTTGAAGTTGTCAAATTTAAGAAACACTACTCCCATAACAATGGAGTTCCAGTAGTTCAGGAAATATCTGTTTCCTATTCTGGCCTTCCTCAATGACTGACAGTAGTAGGGAAATACATTTGTTTCTTTGCTCTCACAGAATGAGAAGCTTAGGAAGCCACTCAAGCGCAGCTGATTTCATATATTGCATTGTAAAATGTAGACATGTGGATACAACACATGGAGGCAACAAGTCTTCATTCCCATGAATTATTGTAACTAATATTGCCAAAACCTTTCTATTTTGATAGCAGTTCAAGTTCTAGCTCAACCTCCATAGTTAAAAGAAGGTGGAAAATACTCAAAATAAAAAGTCATTGAAAGAATGTCTTCTAGATTAATTTTACCTGGAAAAGAACAGAGTTGTAAAAAATTGGAAAAGCCTACCAATGTAGGATGTGTGTAATAGTTATAAATAAAGGGATGGGGAAAGCATAAGGTTACCCTCTCCCCTTATTATGATCTAGAAGTATTAATTGTACATTAGGTAAAGATATATCAAAGAAAGATTACTTAACTTGTATTTTTATGTTATGCAATTAGTCATAAGATAATACGTATATGTAATACTTTAGACCAACTCAGATAATAGATATGTTGACCTGGCTTAGTTCTGATAATTCTGATACGGAATGAGCTTACCTTCACATTCTGCAAATGAAGATACAAAGATGCATTGCTTGTTGTTTTTGAAGGACATATTCCGACAGCCTTTATTTCATCCCCATTCTACTTTAAACTACCTTAAAGAACCACTTGCAAGTATCTTTATTGAGTAAGTTCAGCAGTGAGCCAAGAGAATAGTACAATTTATGCACTCATATTTTCTGCTGATTCTGAGACAGGAGGAATAGTTGTGACTATTCACACCTGAAGATGCCAGAGGCTATGAGCTGAGAATCTTTTCCACCAAACTTGCAGATTTACGACCACATCTATTTAAAAAAAAAATGGTCCTCTGTTGTAATCCCCATGCTGACTAGCTTTCCCAATTGAGTCTGACAAAATTAGCATCCTCATCTATATTTCAGAATTCGCCTCTGAGAATGATCACCGGGATTTTGCTGGAGAACTTGAAGTTCTTTGCAAGCTGGGGCATCATCCCAATATCATCAACTTGCTGGGAGCCTGTGAGAACAAGGGTGAGTGCCAATGACTCGAGATAAAATAATCCCTGGATTTAGATCAGGAATTGGGAACCATGGCCCTTTGTGACTTTATGACTTTGATGACCTGTGGACTTCAACTCCCAGAATTCCTGAGCCTGCCATGCACAGCCTCAGTCACTCTAAATCACCCTGACAGACTAAGAGAAAGTTAAGAAAATAAGATTATTTTCAATACTTATCATTATTTCCATTTGTCTGCTTTATTTCTCCATGTTGGTTAATAATACTATCTTTGGCTGAAGAGACAAAAATAATAATTTTTTAAAATGCTCTCTTACATAGCCATTAATATTTCTTTCTCTCTTCATCTCTTTTTTTAGTTGTTTTATTAAACATTACAATTAAACAGGTAGAAATCAATATAGACTGAAAATCCATTAGAATAAAAACAGAAAATAGAACATGCAGAAAAGAGGACAGGAAAGAAAAATGATTTCTCTTTGTTCACATGGTCCTCAGCCCTGCTTTCACAAAGATGCCTTCAGTCCACCATTCTTTCCCCAGAACCCTGATTCAGGAAAACCTGCCTTCTAACCTCTCACAAGGGTGGTTCTCCCAAAATGATGTTACAATATAGACAGTATCAGTACAAACAAGACACTACCTGGGGAAGATCAACTGATTGGCCTTACATAGAATTGATAGACCAGCAAAGGAAAACAGATTGTCCAAACTGTCTCTCTACAGTGAGGGAATGGCATTAAAACAGCAAATGAATTTTAATGTATACAATTAAATGTGTTAGAGCAAACATGTCTATGCATAGAATTCATGTCCAAACTTTTTATTTCAATAAATAAATTTCTAAGTGATCAGAAGCAATTTGGTTTCAGAAAAAAAACTATCCTGTAATCTGCAACTCTTACACTGCAAAAACATATGGACTACACAACTCGATCAGGGCAAAGCAATAGACGCAATCTACATAGACTTCTGTAAAGCCTTTGGTTCAGTGGTACACGACAAACTACTACTAAAACTAAAATCTTATGATATCTCTGGACACCTACATAACTGGATAGAAGCATTCCTGTCAAACAGACAACAAATGGCCAAAATTGGGAGCGTCCTATCAAATTCTGTACCTGTCAACAGGGGTGTCCCCCAAGGCAGTGTTTTAGGACCAACTCTCTTCATACTCTTCATAAATGGCCTCTGTGATCATATTAAGAGCAACTTCGTTCTCTTCGCTGATGATGTAAAGCTATTCAGTCCCACAGACAATACTGCTACCCTCCAAAAAGACCTTGACTATGTATCAGAATGGTCAATCAAATGGCAACTTCAAATCTCAACAAATAAATGCTCTGTCTTACATATTGGAAGAAAAAAATCAGAAAATAAAATACAAGCTAAATAGTCAAGACCTTGTTGAGGATCCAAACTCTGTCAAGGATCTTGGAGTACCCATCTCTAATGATCTAAGTGCTAGAGCCCACTGTAACTACATAGCCAAAAAGGCATTAAGAGTTGTTAATCTAATCCTACGTAGCTTTTTCTCTGGTAATATCACACTACTAACTAGAGCATACAAAACATTTGCTAGACCAATACTTGAATACAGCTCATCAGTCTAGAACCCATATCATGTATCTGATATTAACACAATTGAAAAAGTCCAGAAATATTTCACAAGAAGAGTTCTCCGCTCCTCTACTCATTGCAGAATACCTTATGCCACCAGACTTGAAACTCTAGACCTAGAAAATCTAGAACTACGCTGCCTTCGGTCCAATCTAAATATAGTATATAAAATCATACATTGCAATGTCCTACCTGCAAATGAATACTTCAGCTTCAATCATAGCAATACAAGAGCACACAATAGATACAAACTCAAGGTTAACCGCACCAAACTTGATTGCAGGAAATACGACTTCAGCAACAGAGTGGTCAATGTCTGGAATACTCTACCTGACTCTGTGGTTTCTTCCCCAAACCCCAAAAACTTTAACCTTAGACTGTCTACTATTGACCTCACCGCTTTCCTAAGAGGTCTGTAGGGGGCGTGCATAAGCGCACCAATCGTGCCTACCGTCCCTGTCCTATTGTTTTTTTTATTTTTCTTATAAGTATCTATCTCATGTATTCAAAACTACATTTATTCTTATACCTGTATCTTGTAAACGATTGACAAATCAAATAAAATGTAAAATGTAAAAACTGTAAAGGTGAAACAATCACAATTACACTGACCACCAGGGAGCAGCACACCATCAGTTAGCATCCCCCCCCTCTCTCCTCTAACAGCATAAAGGAAGATGAACTATATATAAGTACTATCAAAACATAAATATTAAATATGACATAATTTTGTAAATGTTATACAAACTAGTTATGTTGCTTACATATTCAAAGTAAGAAAACAGTGAATATCTTAGGTACAGAAGTTTCAACCCCTTTTAGCCAACACTGGCAAAAGTGGCACTTTGCAAACATTTTCTGTCTTTATATTCTGGGTGAGAGGGGAGGGGAAAAGGCAAACAATTGGAAGGGCTTCAAACTTCTCCACCTGCTTATTTTGAATCTGTACACAATTTCAATTTCAATTTATTAGTTTCGGTCATTGACCAGCAAACAGCTGAACACAGATAATCAACTTTGCATAAAGCGATCATGTTTCATTTGGCACCATTTAGTGGTTGGACCACGTTTTGTTCGCTTCCTAATTCTTTGGAATGGAGTGCTGAAACTTTATTTAAGTGTGCTGGGATCTGAGCTGGTTATCAAGAAAAGCAGTGAAGGTTACAGCAATTGGCTCAATCAACCAATCTTTGAGTGGCAGTCAAAGTCTATTCCTATTAGGAAATATTCATAAAAGGATCAACCATACATGTACTATAATATTGCAAGTGTTTGAGATATTGAGATGATACAGTTTGACAGACTTTGGCCTAACCTTCTAGGTTACCTATACATCGCTATTGAATATGCACCCTATGGGAATTTGCTAGACTTCCTACGCAAAAGCCGAGTGCTGGAGACAGATCCTGCCTTTGCCAGAGAGCATGGGACAGCCTCAACCCTCACATCCCAGCAACTCTTGCAGTTTGCATCTGATGTAGCCAAAGGCATGCAATATCTGAGTGAAAAACAGGTCTGTATGCCAAGCAGCCCGACTCTCTGGACTCACTGAACAGTTATTTGCATGTCTAGATTCTGTTTCTGCTGTGTTTCACAAACACAGAATGGTAGACTTGTGACCATCCTAGGGAATGACTTCACAGGACTAGAACAGTACAAGTGTTTTGTTAGAAGAAATGTCCATCTGGGTTCAATTCCAAGTGGGAAAAAAGCCCCTGGATACATGGAGAGTGCTTGGAAGGATGGTTTAATGGAGCAGAACCATTAAGCACATGGTCCTGGTGCAGCTGAACACATGAAGTGGAGAGTGAGATATATTTATATCCTCTCTTGGGCTTTGCAAGAAATGTATCCTATTGATTGTCAAACTCCAAGGTGGCTATGCGGGTGGTCCAGCTAACCTTGTCTGTGTCCCAGGCTTGGTTGAATCTTGCTGGGTGATGATGTAATGAACAGGCTTGTATTCTGAAAGGGTGTTGGGCAATTCCTATTATGGCTTACTGGCTTTGTCCTGGTTTAGATCTTGAGTGAGGGCTAATCCTATCACCCTGGAGCTGAAGGCCTTTTGTCTTGTAGATAGGATGGCTCAGTCTTTCTGGGGCTATTTAAAAAGGTGGGGGCTGATTTCCAAGAGCATGTTTCTCCTTTTCTCATCCAGGGAGGTATAATACTCTGGCTTTTTGATATTTCCTAGAATATTTCATTCTTCTAGGAGAGGTGTGGGTGCTAACTTTCTACAGTTTTCAGAAGGAATTATTGAGAATTTTAAGAGCTAGACGCAACTGGGTATTGTCCTAGTATGAATTAGAACCGAATGTACTAGAATTTTGAATCCCAGATGATCTTGCATTTTCAAAAAAAAATCCTTGAGAAATTTAGATGTGAGATGCACTAAGGAATTCCAGTCCATTCATAGTAGAACCTGTGAGTGTTGTCATTGCCTGTAAAACGGTGGCATTCTCTGCCACTAGCTATATGACTTATTATTGTTTCCTTTTTGCTAGTTTATCCATCGAGACCTGGCTGCCAGAAATATATTGGTTGGTGAAAACTTGACCTCCAAGATTGCTGATTTTGGTTTGTCCCGAGGAGAAGAAGTTTATGTAAAGAAGACAATGGTGAGTTTGGTAGAGAATCACTGCAAAGTGGGAATTAGAGTAACTAGAATATTCCTTGAGAAATACTCTCCCACATTCCGCAGGCTTCTTTTCCAGTTTGAAGAAAAGAGTGTTCCATATCTTTGTCTTTGTTGTCTCTGCTTCTTCCCTTGTTTCTGATTCTTCAAAAATGTTTCAGGGACGTTTACCGGTTCGTTGGATGGCTATTGAATCCTTGAATTACAGTGTATACACAACTAAGAGTGATGTGTGAGTATCATATCCTTTGGGAATAGGGTTCACCTCAGGTTTCAAATGGTAGGCAATGCTCAATCTTCCACAAAATCTTTTGATCCGTTTCTCAGATGACATAATAAGGAAGATATGTTGTGGCCAAGCATTTCCCACTCGCTGTATTATAGGTAGATTGTTCATGCTAGCTAGAACTTGAAGGAGTTGACATCCAGCAAGTTTGTAGATGTTGAAAGACATGTAAACTGACTTACAATTCGTAAACAGAAGATACTGACTTTTTAATATTTTCTTTTCCTTTGTAGATTAAGTAAGGAACCAAAACCAAAATAAACGTAAAAAAACCAACACATTCTATTACTAGGCTAAATGTACTAAAAGCCCACAGTCCACATCCTAACTTATCTTTCTGTTGCAGGTGGTCTTTTGGGGTCCTTTTGTGGGAAATTGTGAGCTTGGGTAAGTTCCTATCTAGTGGGAACAGGTTGGACTTTGTTCCCTCAATTGTCCTCCAATAGTCTGAATCCTACTTGGGCCCCACACTGCTTTGTACAGCTTGTTCTTCTCATAAGTTCCACTTCCTCAGACTTTTTTCTGTGGCAAGAAAACTTCTTTCATTTTGTTTCATATTGTAATCAGCTTAAAACATACATTTTGGAAGCAAGCACAAAGTGTGAACAATCTGAGGATTTTCTTGAGGGAGAAGACAAAGTTTACATAAGTTCCTAAGTATCTAGCATCCCATCTCATGCTTGATGTTTTGATATTTTCAACAATGTTGCCCTTTTCAATGGATGGAGACCAAAGATAAGATGGTACTAATATAGAAATAGATAGTTCTGGAAGAAATGGTAGCATTCAGATACCAGCTTTGTTCTGGCAATTAAAGGCTGCTATACATGTGCATTATACCCCCAAATGGGTAAATATGGCATTTTGTCTGGTCTGTCTTTCCCCTTGATAGGAGGGACACCATATTGTGGCATGACGTGTGCAGAGCTTTATGAAAAGTTACCGCAAGGATACCGCATGGAGAAGCCTCTCAATTGTGATGATGAAGTGTAAGTGTAAGAGGCCCTGCTCAAATATCCACTTTCTACATATTTCATTCCCTACCTTCTAATGTACATATATTTAACCATATTCCATTGATGGTAACTGACAGACTAGGACTTGGTTTTCACATGTTCCCATTATTTCATTCTGGTGGAAATGATAAAGAGAACAGAAAACAGACTGCAGGTAGTCCTCAACTTACAACAGTTCATTTAGTGACTGTTCAAAGTTACAATGGCACTGAAAAAAGTGACTTATGATCATTGTTCACGCTTATGACCTTTGTAAGCAGCCACATGATCATGTGATCAAAATTCAGATGCTTGGAAACTGGTTCATACTTATGACCGTTGCTGTGTCCCGGGGTCATGTGATCACCTTTTGCAACCTTTTGACAAGAAGCCAGAGTCAGATTACTAACTTACCATCTGAAGTGATTCATTTAACAATGGTGGCAAAAAGGTCGTAAAATGGGGCAAAACTCACTTAACAAATATCTCACTTGACAAGAGAAATGTTGGACTCAAGTATGGTCGTAAGTCGAGGAGTACCTGTGCTAGCTTTTCAGAATAGACCATCCTGGCATTTCCTCTTCCCTCAATGTTTTGTTGTTGTTGTTTTTAATTCATCATTTCCTCCTTTAGGTATGAATTAATGCGTCAATGCTGGCGGGACCGGCCATATGAACGTCCACCATTTGCTCAGATCTCAGTGCAGCTCATTCGCATGCTAGAAGCTAGGAAGGTATTGATATCCTACTGTGATCTAAACAATTACTGTAACCTCTGGAGTATTTATAATTAGATACCATTGCCCAATGTTACCAATAGAATAGCCAAGGCATTATTTTCATGGCCTTCAGTTGAAAAAGACACAATGTCAACTGTATCTCTCAATTCACTTCAAAATGATGGGATACAGGTAGCCCTTAGAGATATAAACCAATAGGATTATATCAAGCAATTGTCCCAAGGCATGGTATAGAGTTTACTTTTAGCAGTATCTCAGTGTAAGGCTAAATAGTGAGTTACTATTATCATTTAGTCTGTAATCAAAACTAGGAGGAAAATGTAATTTCAAACAAAGGATGAAAAGAAATCTCCCTATTGAGTAGCCTTTAATATGATTCTGTTTCTGTTTGGCAGGCATATGTGAACATGGCATTATTTGAGAACTTCACTTATGCAGGAATTGATGCAACGGCCGAGGAGGCATGAGGACTTAACTTTCAACTTGGCAATAAATATAGCCCAGATAATTGGGACTTTCTTATGTATTTGCCTCATGATGATGTCAACAATTTATCATACAGACTGTGCTGGGCACAGTGTACAGATGGGTGCTGTTAGTTTAGAAGATCCTGCAGGAATCTAACATGTCAACTTTTCCTAGAGCGGAGGAGAGTACCTTTGAATGGATTGGTCCAAAATGTGGAGCTTTTGAAAATCAAACTTTAAATGTATTTCCTGTGTAAGAGAGAGGCCCCTCACTCCAAGGGAGAACATTGTCTAAACTGCTCCACCATACTGAGGAAAAAAAATATCAGAAGTTTGGGATCCAGTCAAGGACACCATGATTACAATGCACACCATACAAGAAAGGACAGGCTCACATTATTGCAAAATTCCTTGGACAGTATTACTGAAAAGGTGGAGCAGTTGGCAAACAATGCAATTCCTTCCAGAACCCAATTCTCCAAGGAATAACATCTATCCATAATGATCAGTTTTGTTAGCCCTATTAACTAATTCAGATCAAGAAAGCAACTCCACAGGAACACTCCCTTTTACTTATATAGTTACACCAATTAACTCTTACACCAATTAACTGTTAAAGCTGATTATAGTTACACGAATTAACTGTTAAAGCTGATTAGGATTGGAACAGCTATTTAGCAAATGAAATCGATGTCCATTTAGAATTAGATCACACAGAGCAGGTGGGGCAATTGTGCAGATTAAACTATGTCTTTAGCACTCCTCTTTATTATGACATAATATTGAGAGCTGGCCTACTTTTAGCTTTCTTCCTAGGATATTTTTTAATAGTTTAAGATACAAAATAGGAAAGAAAAAGAAAAAAATGGAAAATCAATGCATGCATGTAAATGAGTTTTTCTCCACTGTTACGGTTTTGCAGAAATGTAGGTTCATTTCTTTGCTGGCTCTGTCTTCCCACTCTGCATTCTGAACCTTAATGTTGTTTGCTTCAGAACTAGTAGCTGCTGTGAATTCAGAAGTATGCTTTGGACATTGTTATATGGATCTCTTCTTCCTTTCCAAATCTTTTCTTCTGTTCCAAAATTATTTCAAACACCTTTTTCATAAATGAGTTTTTCCTAACAAATTTTGTTTCAAACTCTGGACAAATTATACTTCAAGTATTAAGTCATGCTTCCAAGGGATGATAAATGACACACACCTATTCTAATACAACGAAACCATGAGTCACAGCACCCAAGCCTCTGAATCAAAAAGTAAACTTTTTAACCAACTTAATTATAAGTTTCCTTGGGCTATTTCAGGACAAGCTGATGGAAAAATAGTTAGATTTATTTGCACCAACCTATTTCCTACCTCTTGACTCTGTCTACAAACTTTTTTTTGTATTACCAGCCCCATTTAGAATCAGGTATTTTACTCTGTCAAAACTGAGGAATTTGAGTGGGTTTTTTTTTCACTAGCTACAGATATAAAATCATTATAAAATCATTCAAGATAGTTATAACCTAATTACTCACTATTGTTTGTTATGTGAATTCCCTTTCCATAGAGATGGTCCAAAGTCTATTATCATTCTGGATGTCAAAGTTGCATTCAACCCAGGGTTTTTCGAGCTTGGCAACTGTAAGATGTGGGGACTTCAACTCCCAGAATTCCTCAGCCACGATGGGCTGATTTAAACATATCATGATTGATTCAAGAAATCCTCATGGAGACCATATAGAGCAGAGGTGTCAAACTCACGGCGTCGTCACATGACTTTTTCCCCCTTTCGCTAAACTGGGCATGGGTGTGGCCAGTGTGTGACGCATCCGGCCTAAGGGCCGGGAGTTTGACAACCCTGATATAGAGCATTAAGAAAACTTAATGTTGATATAACTTGTCTTCAAGAAACACATATTAAGAAACAAGTCAAGAAGCAGTTAATAAATAAAAGATTAGAGGAGAAATTTATATCTGCCAGTGTAAAAAACATTAATGGAGTTGTTCTATATATAAAACTCCAATTTAAACCTAAATTACTTTGAATGTGGTAGATTTGTAGCAGTGGAAATTGAATTTAATGGAATAAAATCAATAATAGCTGGTCTTTATGTGCCAAATGATGATTAAAAATAAACTTTTTGAATATCTTATAGATATCTTATGGATCAATTACTATCCTTTTTATATGAAAATTCACTTATTTGGGGGGACTGGAATGAAGTGATTTGCCCAGTTTTGGATAGAACATATACCAGAGGGATTAAATCCTCCCAGGATAAATTATCAAAGATATTTTTTTTGAGATGATGTATAATTTAGCACTAATAGATTCATGGAGATAAAGAAATTGTTCTGCTAGAGAATATACTTTTTTTCAGAATGAAATAAATCTTTTTCAAGGATGGTCATGATATGAATTTCTAAAAATCTTGCAAATAAAATTCTAAAAGTTAATATTTTACCTAAAACTTTTTCTGATTCCCAATCCAGTTCGTTTGGAATTTAGAAAAAAGAGTCTGAGTTATAGATGGAGATTAAATGAATCCATCTTACAAAAGGAAATAATTGTAAAAGACTGTAAAAAGAAATTAAATGAATACTTTGATAATAATCTGGCTAAAGGAACACATTTAATGACTGTTTGGGATGCTAGCAAAACAGTTATGAAAGTGTTGGAAGAAATGTCCATCTGGATTCAGTTCTAAATGGGAGAAAGACACTGGAAACATGGAGGCTATTTGGAAAGATGGTTTAATGAGAGACAGGACCACATGGTTTGAGGTCCTGGGCGAAAAGAAGCATATGGGTGTGGGAGAGAGAGAGATTTATACCCTCTGTTAGGCTTTGACAAAGCAAAGAAATTTTGGTGTAGGCTTTGCATCTTAACACAGAAGATTCTCAAAGTGAATATAAAGATAAAATCAGAAACTTTTCTTTCGGGTTTAATGAAAAAAAGTCTTGGGAATTTTTTTTTGGAAATTTGATGTTATATATATATTGACGGCAGCAAGGTTTTATTTTATGCACAAAAATGGAAAGAAACTTTGATTCCCACAATGGACAAATGGCTGCAAAAGTTGGTGGAGTTAGCAGAGATGGCTAAACTGACTGTTTTCATGAAAGAAAAAAAATACAATTACTTTTGTTTCTACTTGGAAATTGCTTCTGGACTTTGTGCTTGAGGTGGAAAAAATGAAACTTTGATTTTGGGTTTTACTATTTACATTGATTTGTTGTTATTGAAATGGCTAGTTTATACTATTATGTAAAGGTAAAAAGTTGAGGTTTGATGTTATTATCTTATTCTATGTACTGTACCAAAGGGAGTTGGAAGTCAATGGCTTTTACCTCTACTGTGACCCTTCCCAACCCCCAAAATTTCTCTAAAAGTTGTCTTTGCATTCAGGCTTTGGGGTATCTGTTGTGATGGGCTATGGGGGATGATATCCCCCCATCACTTTTCTACTGCAATGAAGATGCTGATGATGATGAGAATGACAGCAGATTATATCATTACTTAAATATGAAAGCAACAATAAAAAACAAAGTAATAAAACCACTCTCATTTGTTAATGAGTAACATAGACTGGAGTCTCCTCTTCATATACTTATAGGGCTGGAAGTCACCTTGGAGGTCTTCTAATCCAATCCTTTGCCCAAGACAGGAGTCCTTATTCCACCCCAGACAAATGGTTATTCAATTGTTTCTTGAAAAAGCTCCAGCAATGGAGCATCTTCAGATGTTCCTGAAGATAGTAGTCAATGCCAGTCAACTACTTTTCTTGGTTCTCCAGAAATCTGGTTCTTGCTTATTCATATGACTCTATCACATGGCTCCCCACCCCTAAATATTCTGAACAATGCATTAGGTAGTGGGGGAAAAGTGTCCCTTTTAGCTAATGAGGGTTGCTTGCCTATATGGATTATTTCTGTTTCAAGACCATCACCAACACTTGCCTGCCCCTCACATTATCCCATGTGGGGTCAGAGGATGTTTATTTCCTATCCTCCAAGGCACCACCACAAGGGCAGGACATTCACCCTATCTGATGGCCACAGTCTCTAGGCAGGGTTTCCCCTCTTGCAGACCATGGCATGGTGGTTTGGGGCTGGGGAAGTGGCAGAAGAATGGAACTATAGAAGGCTTTTACCGAAGTTTCCTCTAAGCAGCTGGGCTGACACTCTACAGATAAGTTTCCGCTACAGAGGTCCAACAGCAGAGACTCAGAGTTTTGGAGTTCAGAATTGGAACATCAGATTGAACCATGCTCAGCAAGTGTCCAGACCTCCTGTGCATTCAGATATCCATAACCACATAATCAGGTTATGTGATGATACTCAGCTGCAGTTTAGATACCTAAACCAGTGACAGTTGATCACCTTTCAAATGGCAGTCAATTTGTGCTCAATGACACCACTTCCTTTCCTTGTTATGCTCCTGCTCACCATTTTACGTATGCTCCACTTTGTCCTTGTTACAGATGAAGGTAAGGATAAACATTGCTGTACTTCCCTTTGTCCAGGAGAGCATGATTTTTGGGGTTCTGCAAATCTAAATGTGAATGTAGCACAGATGGGTAAATAAGTATTGGACTGTAGTATCTGGGAAGGGGGAATGAAAATTTATGGAAACATCTCGGTCAGTTTATTTGACATTGCTAATTTCTGGACATAACTCTGCAACTAGGAAATCCATTTGAGATAATTTTTCTGGATAAACAGTCTATTAATTGTAAACAGAACTTAGGTGCACTCGCTTTTCAAACATATCTGTATCTGGCAAAGAGGGAGTCTCTATATCCTTTCAGCAATGTGGGAGGACTGAAAACAAAACTCCATCCTTTTATATAATTTAGCTCTCTTTCCAATTTTATGGCATCATCATGTCGTTGTTCAATTCTGACAGTTAGTGATAACCTGCAAAAGAAGTGATGCTGGAAGGAAAGAGTAACAAAACAGTTGCCCAGAGGGTAAACAAAATCTCAGCGAATACCGTAAGTGCAAAAAGGTTATGTCCCAATGTGTATCGAGGAAGCATTTTAGGCTTTTGAATTGTTCCCTTCTGCATTTATGTGAAGTGACGTATTTGTCCAGCTGTGGCCTGAGAATTCAGAGGTAACAGGAATTGGACACTAAGCAAGAGAAATCAACTCCAGGGCCCTTCTTTACTTATACCACAAGGCTCTCTTTCCTTAGTTGAAAGGAAAATCTATTTAGCAAATGAAGGTAAATATACTGTCTGTTTATTAGGATAAAGATATGGGATAGGACAATGTAACTTGGAGCTAATGGCTGATATTTCTATTAAAGCCAATTGGCCAAAGTTTTAGACTAGTGTCAGGAATATGAAACATAATGTATTAATGGCAAGTAAACAAATTTTCCTCATCATAATCCTGATTATTTCATATTGTAATCAAAAGCAGTGATTCTTTAGGATATAGCACTGCCATATCACATGTCTACTCTGAAACAAGTAAATAAATATGGTTCTTTATCTTTAAATCCAGTCCTTATTTTTTTAAAAATTCACGTAGCTTCTATAAAAATGCTAACAAAGGAAGGATGCACATAGATATTAACTCTGCAAATTAGATGCTGTAGAGATTTTGTAAAAGAGCCTCAGTAAAGTTTGGTATGTGAGGCTTGTGGTTATATGTAATGAAATACATTAAAGTTTAGAGTGAAAATAAGCTTTGCTATTAAACTGCCTTGATGATTACTTTCTGTTTTTCTGCATAGGTCCAGATGTTGCAAACTTGTTATAAAGGGGCATCCCTATACTGGAATGCTCTAAATGCTTTAGTTTATCAGTTAAACAGATGCTGTATTTTTAATCCTACAGTAGAACTTCTGGTTCCGACTATAATTCGTTCCATAACTTTGGTCACAACCCGATTTGAATGTGACCTGAACCTAATTTTGGAAATTTGGCACTTACAAAAAAAAAAATTGGCGTGGAGGGCAAATTGGCTGTGGAAAAAAAAAAATGGGTCGGAACCCGATTTGGTCGTGGTCAGAAGCATTCATGACCAGAGGTTCTACTGTGTACTTTGAAATGTTATATTTCCATCACATGTTGGATGGAAACAAATATATTCCTGTTTCTTATTGTTTGTGTAGCCCCACCAATCTTCCTCTGGCAAAAGATGTGGAATTGTACCAGATTTCTCGCTGCCCCCGCCCTTTCTTTTACTCACCTCAGATATTTAATAGACACTAGAAGAATAAAACACTGTCTCATCATCAACATTAACCTAAGCTCATACTCTCAATCTGTAGCTGAAATGTGGGGTGGAGGAGAGAAATGATCTTGTCTTTCAGTTCAGGCAGCAAAATGTCTCCAGGCAGCTCTGCTAATGAGAAAGGAATCTATTTTCTCTGCATTCTAAGACTGTTTTTCTGTTTTCAAAATTGTATGGGTTTTTTTGTCTACATTTGCATGTAATATGTAATGGATCCTCTTGTTTCCTCCCCACTTCCTTGAGAGCTCTATCTCCCTAAAGCAGGAAGCTTTCATCCCCAAGCCCTCAACAAACGCTTATCGCAAAACCACATGGTTATTTTAGAATGTTTTGTTTGTGAAGGAAGGCTCTCCCACACCCTTACTACAGACCACGAGGGTCTAAGAAACAGCTCCTTTGTTTCATGTTCTCTAAGTTCATCGTCATGATTGTTTATTCAATTCAGATTTCTATCTGAAAATGAGAGCACGTGTACCATAAGACCAATGACACTTAGGTTTACAACTGGACAAGTGGTCAATAGAAATTTAAATCATACAAAGCACAGATTTACAACCGCAAAAGGAAAGTGATGCCAAATATATTTATTTTATTTATTTATTTGATTTGCCAATTGTTTACAAGATAGTAAGTATAAGTGTATACATAGTTGTGAATACATGAAATGGGTACATATAAGAAAAATAAAAGAAGAATAAGAGAAACAATAGGACAGGGACGGAAGGCACGTTGGTGCGCTTATGCACCACAAATACAACAAACTTAATATACTTCCTGATGTTGCCAAATGCTCTTAACATTTTCAACACAGCTGAATGCCATCATCGTCCCCCCCCCCCCACTTTAAAACAGAGATCTCCAAGCTTGGTCACTTTAAGACTTGTGGACTTCAACTTCCAGAATTCCCTAGCCAGCATGCTCTCTCCTTCTCCCGCATCAAGAGGCTCTTTAGTTCCTCTTCACTTTCTGCCATTAGAGTGGTATCATCTGCATATCTGAGGTTGTTGATATTTCTCCTGGAAAATTACTATAACAGAGTTCAAATCAGCTCCTAAGGAAAATGGAACACTTACAAAAACAATGATTTTCAATGACTTTAAGTACATAATTTTATATAAAATTGCAAATTAAGCAAAAAGAAATTGCTCTGAAAAACCCCAAACATGGCTTTGGGGGTTTTGTTTGTTTGTTTTTTGTTTTTATTATAGTGCCTTCAAGTCAGTATCAACTCTTAGCAACCATATAGATATTCTCCATAGCAACCTGTTCCTAGTCTGGACCTTCAGGTCATCCAAGAGTGCACCCATCATCCCTGTAACTGAATCCATCTAACTTGCTGCTGTTTGTCCTCTTCTTCTCTTTTCTTCCATATTTCCCAGACATCTTTAGAGACATCTTTGCATAACATGTTTGAAGTAGGATAATTTCAACCTGGACATTTGAGCCTCAAGTCAGAACTCTGGATTGATGATTCCTTTGTTTGTTTTCTGGATGTTCATGGTATACTAAGGAGTCTTCTTCAACAAAGTTCAAAGGATTAATAATTCTTTCTATCCTCAAAGCAATTCTAAGAGACAATAAACAAACAAATTATTATAGGAAAGAAAATGTTCACCTAAGTAACCACCTAGGAGAGAACAATAGGTACTCAGCCTCTCTGATCTCTTATGTCCATTACTTTGTTGACCCATGATTATACCTAATGTTGCATGTGTTGGGCATCCAGAAATTGTCCATGGTAATCAATCACTCCGAGGCAAGCATAATCTCCAATTGATTTATTAGGAACAGCTCTGGTATACCCATGGAAAATTTCCAAAACTGAAACTAATTTCCAGTGCATCTCTCAAATTCCGCCCTATCTCCTCCCACTTACTATACTTCATAAATCATGAGAACCAATTAACTGCAGCTGGAATTTCTTAATGCGACATACTAAATAACCTTGACTGTTCAACTCCCTCACTCCCCCTTCCATTGTTCACATTCTTGTGGCAGCTGTTCTCAGAGCTGACAGTATGTACTACAGACAGCCAGAATTGGACAACTCACTGCAGCCAACTTGCCATGGCCAATTCGCCACAGCCAACTCATCACAGCCAACTCGCTGCAGGACAACTCACCATGGCCAACTTGCCAACTCGCCAACTCTCTGTGGGACAATTCAACAATTCAATTTAATTATTTAAAATAATTTTAAAATTATTTTAATTTTTGTCATTCACATTTCATTTCATCCTTTCTTTGGCATCCTTTCTTTAATTATTCCATTCTATCATTTCTTCATAGTGTAACTCTTGTCCCATGGTGAGTTGGCTATGGCGAGTTGGCCACAGCAAGTTAGGTGCAGCAAGCTTGGCCATGGTGAGTTGGCTGTGTGTGGCAAGTTGTCGTAGACCCACAGCCGGAATGGGACAACTTACTGCAGCCAACTTTCCACAGCCAGCAGCACATTGGAAAAGGGTTTTCACATCTCTTCACATAAATGCAGAAGGCCTCAGTAAAATTGAAACGAGAAAGAGTACTGTAATGTTTCTCTTCCTGAAACTCATTACCTCCCCCTGTGCAAATAGGAGTGAATACTGGGTTCACAAATCCTGCTAAATAAATGGACACGTAAAAAAGCCAGAACATTTTGGACTTTATTACATAACATAGAATGCTTTAAAACTCGTGTACAATTGTAACCAGAGACTTTTATTTTAGATTTGATGGATATAATTATGCACCTGGAAAAAAAAATCAGGGAACCTTGTTTTTATATGTGATGCAACAATATTATTATATGCACAAAGATGAAAAGATTAGGGTTTACCGATAATGGAGGAATGGATAATGAAGATGATGAAACTTCTGAAATGGCCAAATTAGGCCAAAATGGCTTTCATTAGGATGAAGGGATAGGACGTTGCCTAAATTTAATGATGATCGGGAACCTTTTATTGACTTTTTGTGGAAAACATTATTTTACATTTATATTTATAAGGGCTGTAAGAGAAAATCAAAAGTCACTTCTTTATAATTCTTTTTCTTTTATTTGATTTGATTTCCACACTTTTTGTTCTTTTTTCCTTTCTTTTCCTTTTCTTATTTCTAAAAATTAGCTTTTGTTAGCTTTATTATGTATTTAAAGTTTTAATAAAATTTTATACATAAAAAAATCCTGCTAAGTCATGATATAGTTTGCTTGCATATGTTTAATTGAATGTGAATTTAATTGAATGTGAATTCACCTTAGTGCTTATGTGTGAATCAGGTCTCTTGGGGCACATTTAACAAACTATGTTTTAAAAAATTGGCTTAGTGTAATGCACAAAGTCCACAACCCCTAATTTAAGCTGCTTGATCTCTAAAAAAATAGCAGCATGCTCCCCAAAATTTTTTTTGTCAAGGATGCCATAATTTTGACTACTACAGTACCCTGGATAAATTTGGGGGTTATAGCTGTTCTTTTCATCTAAAAAGTATCAGGAATTCAATTTATTTTCTGATTATTATTATTATTATTATTTTTAAAAAAACCTTTCCCTTTATAGAAGCTATTCTACTGGCCAAAACAGCTCAAGATGTCTTCTGCTTTTCTCGAACCTTTGAGGATCTCACCTGTTTCTGGGATGAGCCAACCCATGTGAAAGGAGCCTATCAATTCTTCTATACATTTGAAGGGTAGGAAGTTATTTTCCACATAGACTGACCAAATTGTCTGAGGTGGAGCATTTATCCTAGCACTTATAAACTTAGATGCCAATTCTAAGCAAATTACTTTGGCATCTAGGAAATATGGGGGCATGATGGCTCAATGGTTAAAGATGTTGACCTTTGTGATATGGATTCAAGACTTGAAGGCCGCACAACAGGGTGAGCTCACCTTAGCAATTTGAAAGTGTGCAAATGCAAGTAGAAGAATAGGTAACACTTTGGTGGGAAAGTAACAGCATTCCGTGTACCTTGGCGTATAGTCATGTTGGCCACATGACCACAGAATTGGCTTTGGACAATGCTGGCTACCTCAATGAAGAAATGAAGATGAGCACTGACCCATAGAATTGGAACAACTGGACAGGGAAACTTTTATTTGTGATTTAACTAAGAACTATAGGAAAGTGATGATTGAAACTCACTTTTGCCATTTTAGAAAAAGATTAGGTTAAGTCACACTGGGGAAGTATCACAGTCCTAATTATTCTATTTTACTCCTGCAGAGACAAAAGTCGAGAATGTGCTCTAATCTCTATGAAAAATACAGATGGAAGTTGGCGCCACATCTGCACATTTCCTGAAAACTATAATGGCATTCAGCTCTTTATTGAACTCAATGTTGAAGTGTTGGATCGTGTTAGTAATCACACCATATTCTCACAGTATCTCAGAGTGAATACTGTTGGTAAGTTTATTCCAAAAGGGTATAAATTATATGTGAAGCAGAAAAAGAGACGAGGACTGGGTAAAGCTTTGAAGAATCCAGCATCCTAAAACACATTCATACTATGACCTGAATTTGACCCAACAATTTTAGCCAAGTCATGATTTCTATGTTATAATTTTGATGATTGGTGGAATGAATCTGTGAATCACACAGACACTAGATTGATGGATTTAATTGAATTTAATTACTGCTATGACTAATTTGGCACTGACAGATAGATTCTTGTTAATAACAGACAGTTATGAACTATTTATTTATATGATTTCATAAGCAATATGCAGGCTTTTATTTCAATCTATCTTTCAGGGCATAGAGTTATCAGTTGCCAAGAGGTGTGATTGATCCTATTGATTTCCTCCGAAGAGAAGATAACATTTTTCACACCAATTTGTCCCCAGAAGAGAGGGTAAAGTTTTTGGAAGGAACCTGAGAAAATGGTTAAGTTCAAGATAGGCACAATGAGCCTTCAAAAGTTTAACACGTCTGTTTTGCATCTTATGTAGCACGAGAGTTAGAAAACAATAGTATCAAATGTTGGAGGTTTGTTCACAGTCTTTTCAATATGTTCTGATGGGTTTTCTAGAAAATGCAAAGGTTGAAAAAAAAAAAGGTTGAAGGATCCCATTTGGATAGTGCCCACCAATGAATTAAACATTAAAAAACCTATCTATTACTAAAAATAATGTAACTATAGTACAAATACAAATGACTTTTGTTTTTGTTTAAAAAAAAGCAGTAACAAGGCTTTATTTTTCTCCCTGGGAAAAGGAGCTCCAAAAATGAGGAGCCACTACCAAGAAAGCCCTGCTCCTAGTATTCCCAACAGCCTAACAACTCTTGCTGGTGAAATACAGAGAAAAGGTTGTCATTTACCTAAAATGTAAAGATAAGGCAGAGACAAAGAGGAAGGTAGTAAAATAAAGATGGGGGGGGGAAAGGCCTTCGTCAGTAGAATGTGATTACAATTGTACAGTTGTACAGTTCAGGAAGTTTCTTCTGTTAATGGGCCTGGGAACTTGGAAATACGGTAAGCCCATGCAATGGCTGCGTTGATTTATTCATGGGGAAAGGTTTTATCAACCTATGGAAATGGGATCATTTGTATGTTGTTGTTCTTTCCTTTATGATTTTTTTTCAGAAAACGAATGACATTTTTATTTTATTATTATTATTAAACACCCAGAGTAATGAACCTGAGATGAGAGGCCATATAAATTGAGACAATAAATTATATAGTAGATCTTGTAAGAAAGTTCAGCTATCAATTCTAAAAGAGGCACAGGTGCATTTGTAACAGACATTCCCAATTTCTGCTCCAGAAAATTAGAACTCTATTGATCAGACTGCCTTCTTTTCAATCTAGAAAGGCTATTCTTTCCTATTCAATCATCACATGAATAGTATAGAGATAAGCAAGAACATTCATTTTTTTTGTTTTTCTTTTAAGGTCTCATTGCTCCACCAACAAATGTAACAGTTGAGTGGCCAGGGATTGCCCAACAGTTGCTTGTAAATTGGATGGCTCCATCTATCAGCTATGCAGACTTCTTGATTTATGAAGTTCTTTATGGTGTTGAGGATTCCATTCAGCCACTATTCAGGGTATGGTTAATAAAGGAAAAAATGGCTTTGCTATAATGGCTGGAGTATATTTTTGCTCTATTACTTTTTTGCTAAAATGGTCTAACTGAACATTTATACTCTTATTCTATTTTATTGTAGATTGAAGTGAAAAACAGCCAAATGTGCCAGCTCAAGAATCTCCTTCCAGGACAGCAATACCACATCCAAGTTCGCTCCAAACCTGATGGCCTCTCTCTTGATGGCATTTGGGGACCCTGGTCTCCAGCAGTGACAGCAGAAACACCCCATCTTCCTGGTAAGTGTCTTATTGACTAGGAAGCAGCTATCAGTAATGCAACTTCAGAGCAATAGCATGGAAGGATGCACCATTTCTATCTGGAAGTAGAACACCCAGGTACTACAATTGGCAGAATTATACTGCATCAATATTACTACTGCAAAGTGAAAAATTAAAATAAATGAAATTGTTGCAAGAGTGGATTCTGTAACTCCCTAAAAATCCATTTTCCCTCTTCAGGAGACATATTCATGCATGAAAGCAGTCGTACAAGTCTTGTGAACCTGTACTTCTGCAAATTTTTCTGGCCCGTAGATGCTTGTACATACAGATGTAAAAACCACGCCCCATGAAACAATGAATTGCAAATACATTTTACTCTCTCATTCTACATTACTATTAAATAATTAAATAACCGCTGAGGAAATGCAGTATCGAGGTATTTGAAATTCTGAAAATGCAAATGTTGCATTTCCCTTCAGGAACCATAGCATGAAACTACTGATTATCCTGACATGACAAGGGTGCACTCAAATCTGCATTTCCTTAGCTAGCAGGACTGAAAGAAGAAGGGACAGAGAGGCATGAATATTTATTTCCAGTTCTGGAGCCTGTTTGGCTATATGGGCATGATTAAAAAGCATGGGAGAGCAAGGTAAAGGTAAAGGTTTCTCCTGCCAAGTCATGTTCAGCTCTGGGGGGCAGTGCTCATCTCCATTTCTTAGCCCCTCAGTGTTATCCAAAGACACTTCTGTGGTCATGTAGCCAAGCATGACTCTATGCCTAGGCACACAGAATGCTGTTATCTTCTCACCAAAGTGATACCTATTAATCTATTTGCATTTGCATACTTCCGAACTGCTAGGTTGGCAGTTGTTAGAGCAAGTAATGGGAGCTCACACTATCATATGACATTTGGATCTTTAACCCGACATTTGGATCTTTAACCTTTCCAGCTGACAAGCTCAGCATCTTCAACCGCTGAGCCATTGCACCTCCTTTTATTGGAGAGTATATGAAGGGCAAACTCAACTAGGGCATAAGGACTGACTTCTTTTCATTAATTCTTGCATGTGCTCCTGTTCAAAATTTGCTTCCCTGTTCAATTTGGGTGTTTACTTCTGCTAACACAACACATTTCATCCAATCAGACATTAATTCAGTCAGATTTCCTTACAATGAACACAGCTATCATGTTACTCCATCACTCTTTGTCATTAAACTAAATATGTCCAATATGAACTAGACATATTCCTTCAACCATTCTTCATATATTTTAATTTCCAGTCCCATAATCATCTTTGTTGCTGTTCACTGCATTCTCAACATCTTTTTTTACATCATGGTGACTAAAGCTGGATTCAATATTCCAAGTGTGGTCTTATCAAGCAAGGCATTATAAAGTGATCTTAACATTTCATGTGGTCTTGATTCTATCCCTCTGTTTATACAGAGGGAGCTGCCGTACACTGCTGGCTCATATTTAAATGATTGTCCACCAGGACACCAAGATCCCTCTCGTAGCTACTACTATTGTGCCAGGAACCACCTATATTATGCTTGTGCTTTTGGTTTTTCTTGCCTGAATGTAAAACCTTACTTTTCTCCACCACCGAATTTCATTTTGTTAGATAGGGTTTGGTTTTCAAGTCTGCCAAGATCCTGTTGTATCTAGAGTCTTTATTCTGGAGTCTTTCTTCTGCATCTTTTTACTCCTTTATTCACACACACACACACACACACACACACACACACACACACACACACCGGAGGGGGGAGGTGAGGAGAAAAAGGTAGAAAAGCTGCTCAGCGTCTTTTGACTGTTAACCCTAGGAATCTTCCATCCAGAAGTGCTCCAACTTTCTACAAATTCACATTGATCCTTTCCTTTGCAGAAAGAGTTTTGCTTCTAAGGCACAGCAATAAAAAAAAAATCTAAATATAATTATTTTTCTTGTTAATGAACAAGACATGTGGGGTTTTTTTTCCACATTTTATAATGAAGAATAAAGTCATGAAACATTTCTAAAGAGAAGGAGTTAGAGCATGCAAGAGATGTTCTGAAAAGAATGAAGGACCTCCTGAAGATAGATAGCCAGAGCTCTGCAGATGTTCTGAGCCACATTCCCAAGCAGCCTCACTCGGTATGACCACTGGCGAGAGATTTGGGGAGTGTAGTTTCGTGGCATAGAGTTTTTAGAAGATATTGCTGTGGATTGGCCACTCTCTGCAAAGAAGGTCATGTACTGTATATAAAAGAAAAAAACATAGATTTAGCCTGTGGGGACACAAAATAGTACTGCAAAAAGCTGCTGTCAAATTGTTCTACGTCTATTCTCTTTTTTGGACAGAGGCAATTGGTCTGCACTGCTTCACTCCAGATTTGTATCAATTGCACTGCCACTGGAACAAGAAACCTCTGGGTTCTGGCCCCTTTCACAGCCTCTTGTACTGGATGGAGAGCAACAGCAGCAGCACAAGGTGACTAGATGGGCAAATGAACAGTACCTATAATGTTCTGTCCTATAATTTGTGTTTTTGCTCCTGCTCCAGGTACCATTCCAAGTAGCGTCCTTCAGTTTTCACATACATACGTATTGCTCCCCCCCCCACCTCCCCGTTCAATTGTTTCTGATTCCTGGGCAATGCCCAAACAAGTCCCTGCAATTTTCATGGCAAGGTTTTTCAGAAGTGATTTGCCATTGCCTCCTTTCTAGGGCTAGGAGAAAGTGACCAACCCAAGGTCACCAAGCTGGCTTTGTGCCTAGAACCCTTGTGCCTGGGTTCTAGCCTGATGCTTTAACCCAGGGGTGTCCAACCTTGGCAACTTTAAGACTTGTGGACTTCCAAGGTTGGACACCCCTGCTTTAACCATTACACCAAACTAGGCACACATGTGCAGGGATTGCTCTGAGTCATATTTGGTTAGCTTAGGTTACCAAGCAAGGTTACGAACATTTAATTAATGCAAATCCCACCCGACTTTCAAATGATTTTGGCTGCGTAGATTGTTCTCCTGTCTAAGTGATCAACGGTATTTAACAGCAGCAACCCTGGGAAATAGGTTAGGATGAGATGAAGAGACTGACTAAAGCTTACTGGACGAATTTCATTCAAGTTGAACGGCAAATTGAACCTGTTTCTCCAGTTCTAACATAGCAGTTAAAAACGATATCACATGACTCCTGCTTCTTGGTTGTTTGACTGTGACTGACTTTGTGCCACTCACAACAACCTCACCTATTTAGTGTTTACTAAGTCTCAAACCATCATAGGTTTAGGAGGCGGCTCTACTGCAATGTCTGTTTCATCTCTCATTTCTACATATCAGCCCTGGTAATGCGTCTTCTTCACAGGGCCTACATTTCAAATGGCCTATGACAATCAATAGAAGGGGATGGCGGCTGTTCAAAATTATAATGCAACAGGACCAGAGGTGGTATTCAGCAGGTTCTGACCAGTTCTGGAGAACCAGTAGCGTAAATTTTGAATAGTTCGGAGAACCGGCAAATCCCACCTCTGACTGGCCCCTCTCCCATCTATTCTCTGCCTCCCGAGTCCCAGCTGATCAGCCAGGTCTTCTTTTGTTGTTCTGCACAGGAGAATGGAACTGGGAAGCAGGTTAGTGGGGTGGGAGGGAATGGAGATTTTACAGTATCCTTCCCCTGCTACGCCTACCAAGTCATGCCACGCCCACCAAGCCACGCCCACAAAACCAGTAGTAAAAAAAAAAAATGAATCCCACCACTGAACAGGAATGATAAATAGATGGAATGATGGTAGCACTTTTTAGAATTTTTTACAACTTAGGGAATCTCACCAATCATATTCATTCCAATATGGTTAGTGGGATCACCTAAATTGAAAGGAAAGCTTAAACAGAACTTGGGGTTACCAACTGTCAAGGAAAGTGTAAGTGTGGTCAATAATTTAAGAACTGTTTAAAAGGCCACTTCAGATAGTTCTAGCAGACAACTCAACATCGTATCACTATTGTCCATTTTAATTTGCAGAGGGCAAACCTGGCACAAATGTAAGAAGGAAGACCCTGATTCCTGCGCGTGCACCTTTCAGCCTAGTGACACTCAGTACCTTTCTATCCTGGTGACTATCAGCCAGAGTGAGCAAGAGGTCAGCTACTTTGAAGAGCCATTCAAACTGTACCATGTGGGTAAGAACCTTGGCCTCAGCACCATCAGGACTTTCAGCTCCAAAGAGTGAGCTGACCTGGGCTGGTATAGCATCAAACGAACCTCAATATTAGAAAATATGGAACACTAGGAATGTTGCAGGGGACCTCTGCTTCCACATGAAGCTAAGCTGACCTAACTGGCCACCTCTCTCCCTTTCTCCTGTTATAGTGCACACTGCTCCCCCAAGAATCCTGGAGGCTTCAATAGACAGAAATATACTAAGGCTGGAGTGGGCCTACCCATTAGAAGAAATAGCTGAACACATGGTATATCAGATACGGTATACGGTGCAGGACACCTTGAAATGGAAGGTATTTTTCCCCCAGCAGATATTCTTGTGATATCCAATTAGCGGTGCCAGATAGTTGCAAATAAATGCTTCTGTAATGCAAATTTAGAACTATGGCTTCCAAGCTACAAGAAATCGCTACCCTAATTTTTTTTTTTTTTTTACTCTGCAAGAACCAGCTGGAATGTTGTGTCCTATTCTGGAACCTCTATATCCTTCTTATATCACAAAAAAAGGTTACACAGAGTAAAAGGAGAGTGGGGATATAAGAGCATTCTTCATACAGTGTCTCATTTCAATGTCAAACCACCATAAATGGTGACCCCGACGTGATTCGTGATTTGAGCCAGCTGCAGCCCAGGGATGCCGTTTCGTGTTACGGATCCCTCCCCAGGAATCTTCTGCAAAGAGGACATCCTCCCTTAGCAAAGCTGCATCTGGCTGCATCCACAGCACGACTTCCAGGAAGGAGTGTGCTGCCCTGATTATGGGCACCCCAATCCTTAATCAGGAAGGCGAATCACTTGAGAGGCCCAGGGCTCTGAACTCAGACCCTGCCCGTTGCCAGGGTGTGGGCAGCAATGTGGACGAGCTTCGATCTCCAAGCTTCTGTCCAAGCAAAACCACAATACAGTAGATCAAAGTTAAAAATTGTAAACATTTATTTTTCCAAGATTTATTACTGATACAATTGGGACAAGCAATTCCACTGCTAAGCAATGTGGTCATTAAGCAATACATTGTGTGATCAAATAGGTTTATGGCATTAATTCTGTCACAGTTCTTGAGCAAATCACATGATTTGTTGCCTTCTGCATTGACTCTGCTTGTCGGGCTCTAGTTGTGAGGCACTCAAAAGGCAATCGCATGATCATGGGACACTTTGATGATCATTCAAAGCACCTGACTGTCAATCATGTGACTGCAAGGACACTGTGACCACCATAAGTGCCAACACCAGTTGCAAAGTTATTTTTTCAGCGCTGTCATAACTTTGAGTCCCTTAAACAGAGCAGTCATTAAGCAAGGACTACCTGTAGCCTTAAATTACAAAAAGACTGGTTTCAATTGAAGATTTTAAAAAGCTTCTGGGCAGTAAAGGGCAGATTGATACCCCAATTCCTCAGGAATCAGGCTTATTATGTTAGTCTCTCAAGCTTAAGAAGCTTAAGAAGCTATTATCTCCCAAGCTTAAGATGATATTAGCATAAATACCCTTGCTCCTATTTCATAAATAAAGGAAATTACTGTCACTTCCTCACATCCACATTTTTTTTCCAGTACCTGTATTTCTATGCAATAATCTAATGATTTGCAGAAAGGATTTTGGCTGTGAGGCAAATTTGCAATGGAAGGTTGATATAAAAAAATAAATAAATTTGGGGCACTGGGGCAGGAGTCCCCCCCAAAAAAAAATCACAATTAAGGCTGCAATTCTGGGATTGAAACCTTGTCTCTTTTTTTATGCATAACACACAAAAAGAGGTAGGGCCTCAGTCCACTCTTGTTTTACAGCCATTCATCTCTATTATATTTTTAAAATCCTATGAAATATATAGATGAAATACTAGCATGTTGCCAGTTTTGAACTGGGTACTTTGGTCAATAGCCATGACAATCGATACATCTTGATAAGTTCTCTAAACAATACTTATAGAAATAAATAAGAGAATTCCCAGAAACGGGACACCAAATCTCTCCAAACAAACTGATCTATTAGTGCTAGTTTTTAGAATGCATAGAAGAAATGATTGAATTCCTGGTCCAAGCAACAATGCCTACATGGAACTTTTGCTAGAGAATGAGATGAATGCATGCCATACTTTTGTATTTGGCTCAAGACACAACTAAGGCAACCAGAAGCATATGACAGCTTAACAAAAGAGGTTTAAAAAAGCTTAGGAATTTAAAAAAAACCTCCCCTTTTTCAAACATGCCATAACCTAAGGGATGACACTACTAAAATTTATGCTATAGTAAATGAATAGGGGGAGCATCTCATACAGAGGAAAAACCATGACCCAGCCAGTAGAATAATAGCTAACTATTGCTATACAAATAATCCTCGGGTTATTGCACAATTGGGACCAGAATTTTCAATGGTAAGCAAGGCAAGTGAATTGCACTTGATTTTATGACCTTTTTGCTACGGTTGTTAAGCAAATTACTCAGTTGTTAAATGAATCAGGTGGCTGTGAAGCAAATCTGGTTTTCCCATTGACTTTGCTTGTTGACAGTTGCATGGGAAAGCCACAAAGGGCAATCACATGACCCTGAGATGGTGTAACCATCATAAATACATGCCAGTTGCTAAGTACCTGAATTTTGATCACATGACCACGGGGCTGCTACAATTATTGTTAAGTGTGAGGATTGGTCACATGTCACTCTTTCCATTGTAACTTCCATCGCTAAACCAATGGTTGTAGGTAGAGGACCACCTGTTCTTTGGGGATTTGAAATCCAGGAATCTAATGAGTAGAGCACAGGTAGTCCTCAACTTCAGACCACAATTGAGCCCAAAATTTATGTCATTAAGTGAAAAATTTGTTAAGTGAATCTGTCCCATTTTACGACTTTTCTTGCCACATTTGTCAAGTTAATCACTGCAGCTGTTAAATTAGTAACATGGTTGTTAAATGAATCAGAGGTTGTTAAATGAGTCAGAAAGCCGCAAAATGACTCCTGAATACTAAGACCATCATTAATGAGTTTGTTGTCAAGCATCTGAGTGTCAATCATGTGACCATGGGGATGTTGCAATGGTCATAAGTGTGAAAAATGGTCATAAGACGCTATTTTCAGTGCTGTTGTAACTTTGAATGGTCACTAAATGAAGTGTTGTAAGTCGAGGACTACCTGTATACATGATGAGGTCATTTTCTGGGTAGATCCTACAGGTGCAGTACTCAAACACCAGTGAAATTCATCTGGCCACCCAAGATCGCTACTGCCTTCAGCTGCGCACCCAGCCAGATGGCCAGAAGTTCCGTGGGGACTGGAGCACCTGGTCAGAATTAGTGTGTGTTGAAGTCCCACCTGGTGCAGGTAAGCAACATCAGTGGTGTGTACTGGAGAGAGGTTGCTAGATAAGGAGATAAAATATTCGACAAATGAAACAAAGACTGCTGAGCCTCAGGGAAAGAAGAGCCACAAATTCACCACCATGTGCTTCTACTTCAGATTCAGTGATTATGATCGTGGCCATTGCACTCTTGCTGTGTGCAGGACTTGTGCTGGGTCTGGGCTTCACCTGCCTCTCCAACTACAGGTAACTGAGATCTGTGCAGTTCAGCCATTGAACAAAAAACACAGTTTGGCATAGGTGTTGTTATTCTTTTGCAACCATCTGCTTTTTTGTTAATAGCAGTGTGAAACAAAAGCTCTGGCCAAGCATTCCAGAACTACATCATGTCCTAGATGGATTCTTCAAGGATAATGGCAAGCAGCAGCAGCAGGTGATACTTTCTTTTTATTGTATTACTTCTAATGCAGTAAGTCAGTAGAAGCAGAATTAGGCCATCTTTTAACTAGGAAAGAAGACCTTTTTAACTACTTCCGATATACTTTTTTTGTGAGAATCTTGCCTCGTTCTGTGGGCATATTTTCCAGTTTTTGGGAATAATATGAGCTAAACCATTTCTCACCTGACTTTTCCAAGATGCAGACTTTTTCAGTTCCATCCCATTTCTGAACTGTGATAATAGAAACAGTATCATGTACAGAAATAAATTGAGGTAATTTAGCTTGTGCCTAGAAGTCTTCCTGACTCAGATTACAGTACATGCTAAATCCTGGTTGGAACTTTTTGTGATTTTTAACTCTTCCTAGTTGGAGTTCACTGCTCTTTTATTGTCTTTCACATTGTTATTTCATGCAGATTCCCGTAAAGTGAATGTCAGGGAGGGAAGGGAATAATTCAGAGGCCCTTCTGAATTTCTGATTGTTTCTTTCTGAACTTTTAGGTAAATGCTTTATTTTTCAACAAAATGCTGGAGGATGTGCCTTTGACTTGCTTGTTGGAAGTACTATCTGACAAACCCCTGGAAACACCAAGCTTTGACACTTTGCTAGATATGGATTCAGCAGAACAGGCAGAATGGGGCAGCCGGCCTTCTTCCCATCAGCACTACATGGTGCTGAGTTCTAACAATCCCCAAAGCAGCCACCATAAAAACGAATACTTTGATGACGAAAATGATAATGGAAAAGCTTTCCCACAGTCCTTGGAACATGATCTACACATAACATCAGAGCCAATGACCCAAATAATTCCCTTCACCTTGTTGAATGTACCATCAGAGATTAAAGAAGAAAGAAAGCAGGAAATGTCTGATGACCAAACCGCATCTGTCACTGACATTTCAAACAAGACATATTTGCTAATGGGCTGATTATGTCTATCATTGGAGGACAGCACTATGAGAAATTATTAGGTCCTGTAGGAGTTTGCAATACAATACAGGCAATTTTCAGTGGTAAGGCAACTGTTTAGCCAGTACTCCTCAACTCTGTTTCTTATGGACCAACTGAATTGAGCAACTGCAGATAGGCCAATTTTTCATGGACAAAAGCTACCTTGAAATTTTGGAAGGCAATGATGCAAAGTGACTAGAACTCTACTCACACAGAGCTCACTTTTTCTGGTTTGAAAGGGGGGGGGGGAATTACACTACAATGTTTCTATGTTTCTCTTTTCAGAATGGCAGGCAATCATACTGCCAAATTCTGGTAGTAATAGCCAAAGGGTACCCTGGTTGCTGCAACAGGATTTGAGGATCTGTGGCCTCAAATTACCAACCCAGGCATTGGATTATGAGGTGGAGTTGAACGTGGTATTTTATCCCAAGACGTGTCCACGTTGCGTCTCATAACCACAGGTCTCCAAAAGCAAAGTGATTCTTACGCAGCTGAGTCCCAGTGATTTGCATGTCAGCTAAAAAGAACTCCAAGATTTAAAATGTTTTTTCCATTTTGAATAATTATGCAAAGTATATTTTATAGAAATGATGAAAGAATTGTAGTAATACAACTGCTTAGCATAACCAGAAATAGAGGTAAATAGAAAATGTACATGCTGAGCACAAAAATACAATTTGTGAGATAAGCACCACTCTATGTTAGGTCACTGTAATATCAGATTTATTTCACTGATTTTAAATATGACCTGTACAGATTAGGATTTGCTGTTACTATTTGCATTGCCATGGTTGCTAGTAAACAAATGTAATGTTATTTGAATAATGCAACTGCTGTGATTCATGGTAATTAAATGAACTTATTTTTTCATGAGGATCAAATTTAGGTATTCACACTGATTTACTACCATTTGTAGTGTCATAAAAGCACTTCTTACCATCTCCAGAGAGGTTTCACCAGCCTTTTAAAATTCATTTTGCTTTAAAAGTAGGATAATGATGACCCAATTTTTGATGGAAACGCACATGGAGTAAAGGATAAGTAAATTCTGCTGGCTTACTCTAGCCAGGACAAGAGGTACTTCTGTTTTGATGCTTCCTTGTAGCAAACAAATTAGGTGCCTAAGATATATAACACAGCAGTAATTAATGGCACAGATTCTGGGCTTCTCAGAAGTTGGGTCAAACTAACATAAAGCCTCAGAGGGCATTACATAAGCTCTACTGTTGATAGAAAGGCCAAAGAAAGGCCAAAAACAAAGGGTATTTTTGAATGAAGCAAATGGTCAGATGAATCAGTGTTGTAGTCAATGAGATGACCATAGCCACCTGCCATATATGTGAAGAAAACAGGGAAAAATACAAACAGCAGCTATTTGAAGATGTCACTGTATATATCACTTTTATAATAAAATGTCAGCTAGAGAGTTGGAGATGCCAATTCCAATGCCAGGTTGAAGATATTATATTGAATATAAATGTACTCTCTCATCACTTGAAAGAGAGGTTGAAGCGAGGAAAGAAAATAAACTGGGATCTGAGACTGCATACTGTAAGTACTTCCCATATTCCTTGTATAAAGGTATATTCTCTTAGAAGAATGGCAATTGTATCTAGTGTAATAACAAATAAACCAAAATTTTCTCCAGTGGAATTGTCCCAGAAATGTATTTATTGATTTCAGAATATAAAGGTAAAAAAAACAATATAAAACCAAGCAAAGGCAAGCAAGGAGCAATAACCCCTCATTCACAGGCATTAACGATCTAATAAGCCATTGCACTGACTCCATCCCACCCTGGGGTCTCCAGGCCCGTTGGCAAAGCCGTGTCTTATGAAAAAGTGTCAGAGAGGAAACCAATCATCTCTGCGGAGATGATGTTTCACAGAGAGGGAGTCACCATGGAGAAGGCCCTTCTTGGTCCCAGACGGACCTCCTTCCCTGCCTTCCTGTTCTAGTGGATCAGGTAGATTTGATTGGGAAAAGATGGTCCTTAACCGGATCCCAAGCCATATAGGGCTTTGAATTCGCAACCAGCAACTTGGACACCAAAGCAAATCAGTAGCCATTGCAGTTCCTACAGATGACGACACATAAGCACATCTAGGCCTGCACCAAACTATGTACGCCATTGCATTTTGAACCAATTGAAGCTTCTGGATATTTTTCAAGGGTGTTTCAATATGGAAGGGAGGTAACTAGGGCATGGGAGACTATGAGCAGGGATTGTTGGTCATAATTGGCACCCAACCTGCATTTACCCAAAGGGTCTCCTGGTCAAGATTGCCACCTGCTCTTTGAGCAAGAGTCATGATGTTGCAGGAAATTACGAGACTCAGACCTTGGAATCCAAAAATAAGTTGGTTTTATTTGCGCAAACAGGTTCAGATTATTTAGTGAGTCACTTCTGAACAAATTTCTTATAGAACAGCACATGCCTATATACTTCTTCAGAAGGGGCAAAACACAGAAATATAACCTGTCAATCATTCATTGGTTACTTGAAACACAGCTTTCCCCGTCCCCTGTTGCTAGGCTAGGATGGCTGGATGTCACAATCCCATCTTGCTAAACTCCCTAGCTTGTGGTTTTGTTACAAGCGAGACAAGGTATCTTGGCAAATATGACTGTGACCGATAGATGATCCTTGTGGTTTGGCTTTTCACACTTCCTTGTTCTTTCTCTTGCTAATACCACATATTTCACTATCTATAAAACTTGTATCATTATTTCTCTAAAATTAATATATTTTTATGTCCTGCCTTAATGAGAGTCCAGAACTCCCAGATTACATTGAAATTTTGAAAATGAGGTTTGAAAAATGCATCCAAGATGAAGGGAAGTATCAAAAGTACCAATCAAAGCACAAAAGGCAGAACATGGGAGAATTTTTATAAGAGAATTCAGAATAAGGTTTTAAAACGTAACATATACTGTAGCAAGTAATAATCCTTATTTGAACTACAACTTTCAGCATCACTATCAATCCTGCTAGCAAAAGCACCCTGGAAATAATCCAGCAACATCTGAAGGACTGCAGGGTATCTGTCTCAGAGGATTTTTTTTGTTGGGATCCATTTTTCAAACAGCTGAGTTCAAAACTGCATTTGCTAAACATCTTCTTTCCTACTCGGTACTATTTAGATCTTTCCTGCACACAGAGGGTGCAGATGCTGATGCTATTTGGTCACCAACAAAACAGTTGAACAAACTGACTTTCTGAATTAAAAATCTATTATAGGTCTCCATTTTAGGACATCATTTTGTTCCTTGGAAAACTGGAACAAAATGTAGATTTATTACAACCAGATTAAGGCTGGAGACCCACAACTTGAGTGCAGATGAAATCCACTAACTACAGCAGCGAGGCTCATCTATGAGAGGATGTGCAGTATTGTCTGGTATAAGGTCTCATGAAAACGAGTCTGCTTCCATAAATCTTGCAATTATGTTTAAGAACGCTCTTTTCTGGTCATATAATCTTTTCTCCGATTTTACCACTCTAATGCCCAGCAGAAAGGTTTACAGCAAGGGGTTCCCCAAACTTGGCAACTAGAAGATTTGTGGACTTCAACTCCCAGAATTCTCCAGCCAGCTATGCTGTTAGCTAGGCTGGCTGGAGAATTCTGGGAGTTGAAGTCCACAAGTCTTAACGTTGCCAAGTTTGGAGACCTCTGGTTTACAAGTTACAGTTTAGCAATCAAATAGAAAGCTATCCCAATAACTTCTTGCGGCTTCCGTTTGACCTGCCTCTCCTTTAAGCATCGGGCCAAAACCGTTTGCTTTAGAACGTTGAATATTTTCATTAGAGCGTCAAGCGCCATGGAAACGCTCCCCCCTCCCCCACCCCGCGCCGAACATCGGCCGAGACCTTTTTCACGCCACTTCCCCCGTTACGACAATTGTAAATCATAAAGGAACCCGCCCAAGGCAACTTAAACCATCCAGGGAAACGTTGGGTTGACAAAAGCCACGCCCACTTCCATTCGAAGGGCCAATGGACGTAAAAAGGAAGGCGGGGGAGCCGTAAGTCGTCGGGCGGACGTTAAGTTCGAAATGGGCCAATCGCTGATCAAAGTGGGAAGTTTAAATCCTGAATGGCGGAAGGAGCCGGGAGAGTTGGAGTCAGAGCAGCGGTAAGTGAGAGAGGTTCCGCCGACCCGAATTTGGGTTTTTCTTCTGGTTCTCGATTTCTTCCCGTCCTCTGCCCAATATTGGTTTTCCTGCCCAATATGTCTTGTAGTGTATTTTGCCGCGGTGCACGAGATGCACCCTCCCCCCCACATCACCCCCAGTGCCAGAAACTGACCCGGAAATTGTATGAGGAAGAAAAGCGGACTGCTTTCAATCAAGCAAACGTATCGCAGGAAGAGAAAATATCACTATATTGTCTTATTGCGATACGTTTGCTTGGTTAAATCTCCAGAAGATAAACCGTTGGGTTACAAAGAGAGCTCCACCCTTTCGCCCAGATTGTGGGGCCTTTGCGGGAGGGGGAAAAAAGTCAGGTAGAAAGCAAAATATGAAAGAAAAGGAGCATGGTCTTTTCTTGCCACTTGTGCTTGTAAGGACCGCATCCAGTCACCTGAATCTTATCTGGTTTGTTATATTCTGGAATAAGGTTTGTGAACCTATAGCCATCCTGTGGATGCAGATGACTCCATTTTCCTGATGTTCTTGTCTTACTCTCCTTATCCGAGATCAACTTAGTTCTTCCCTGGCTCTGATTCCACAGCACGGCATCCCTATGGCACAGTTCCTGTTTGAGAGTGATTTGCATGGGCTGTTGAAATTTGAAGTCCCAAATGTACCCCCTGCACGATGGCAGCGGAAGGCTAAGGAGAGTGCTGCTCCCAGCACTGGAGCTGCCTCAGATGCCATAGCTCCTTCGCCTATGAAACCAGCTAACAGGCCTCATAGTACCAGCAAGACTCCTTCCAAAACACCAGGTAAGATGTGTTTTATAACCAGTAGGTAGATAAACATCACTGTATGTGATGAAATCAGACATCAAGTGCCAAGTCTTTGGTCTCTTCTATTTGTCCAATTTGTTTTCCAGTGCTGGAGATAAACGTTCATGTTTTTCTTAATGACATAAAAGATTCTTGCTCTCAGGCTAGCAATTACCTGAGGGGGATACAAATTAATGAAATCTCTTGTTTTGCAGGCAAGTCTGGTTCCAAATCACAAAATACTCCAAACAAAACTGGAGGTGATAGATACATCCCTAATC